AATATGCTCTCTAAAAGCCTAAGTAAGAATTTGCTCAAAAGGAAAGAATTCTAGAGTAATTAATTGTGTTTTCCACATTAAACAAACTCCATTCCTTTTTCTTTTGAATTTTTTTTAAGAAATTACTGGCTAAACAATTTGAACTTGAGTTTCTTGGCAATATATGCTGAACTAAACATCTTAGGTAACTTTTCAAAGGAAAATAAAGCTTAATACAATAATGTTGACCCAAGCCATGTCTTTCAAAGCTCCAATTTGTGTCAATTTTAAATTCATCCTATGCTTTGTGGGTTTAGTGATAGTTGAAAAACTATTTTTTTTATATTGTTTAAGCACTAACCACTCCAATCACAAAAAGAGTTCCTTCGTTTAGTGTTGTCTGGGCTCAAAGCTTATACAATCATTGAAGATATTTACTTGTGATTTTTAGTGCTAGACATATTTAAAATTCCCAAGCGATTTTCTCCTAGCTATTTTTCAAACCAAAGAGTGATGACTTATCTCACTATGGTTGCCAAAAGTGAATAAGGTTTTTTTTACTTATACTCATGTTCTTGCCTCTACCTGCAAAATAGTGATAATTAAACAAAAATAACAATATAGAGAAGAGAAGAGAAGAAGAATGAGAAAAGAATAAAAGAAAATTTAACCTCAAACCCCAAAAGTGTGAGTAAGGATAAGTATATATCACTTTCTCAACTCTACTTTGCACAAATACTTATAAACAAAAGAAAAAATGGTTAATTCAATGCAAATGCCTACAATAGTGAATGGGGGTTAGTTTCCAACACGTTTAAATGCTACTTATATACTATATGATTTTGTAATCGTTTCTAATTACTTCATGCTTGTCTATGATAAATGTTACCTAAGTCGGGTTTTTTTTCCTTTAAATGCCTAAGTTTAGGTGTAACTTCATTTTGCTTAAACGTCCTTCTTTTACTCTATTTGGGAAGATATATAAGATAAAACATTTACCTCTTCAATTAACAACACTATGAAACATCACATCTTCCACTTGTAGTTGCAATTTCTTATTGGAGACAATCATGTTTCGATGACGTCGTTGATGTTAATGTTACTTGTATTCAAAGATAAGGATGAAAACGTGACTATGATATTTGTTATTGGGCATGTGAAGAGATTGGCCACACATATCAACATTATTAGCATTTTCTATTTCTTAAGTGGAGAGGTGGGCATTAATAATGTCTTATAATGCTATAGTCACTTTATTATTGAAGCAGAAGAATTTGGTTGGTCATACTACTTGATGAGCTTTGAAGTTTAAAATAGATAACTTTAAGATTGTTTATTGTCTAAGGAGTTCTATAGCTAATGCTAATGCTTTTCTTGAACTCCTCTCCCTTCTCGTGTTCTCAAAAATCTTATTCTTTTAGTATCAATGAATTTTATTTTATAAATAAGGATTTCATGCCATCAGTAGTTGTATTTAATGTTTAGTGTTCACAAAGTGTAGAACTAGAATTACTTTCTCTCTATAGGATTTATGAGGCTCAAAATTTGAACTGTGGATTCAAAGATTTCATTATAGGTTTAAGAAGTCCACATCGTTTACTAATGACTTGCTATTTCGGTATTTATATTCTCAATATTACTTTAAGGAAGACTTTCTTTACTTTATGGGGATTGATCCTAATAATCATTTGTATTTGGTCATGTTTTTTATTTTGATTTTATATTTTCTCTATGTTTATCATGACTCTTCTATTCTATGTGGGCATTATAGGACATCATTGTATGATTAAGAAGCTATAGCACACTTGAATTTGGAGCCAAAGTCCAAGCCCATTGCACTACGAAATGAAGGTCCAATACACTCTTAATCCCATGAACACCAGCTCCCTGTATTCAACATCTACATGCAAAATGGTGTCAGATAGTGTCTGGTATAAATTTAGTATACCAACAGCCTAATGCAAGGAGGAGGGTACCCCACTTATACCCAAACCAAACGTAAAACAAGAAGTAACAAGGCCTAGCAAAAGTCAAGTGGTCGAACATACATTTCAACCACTATTCCTTATTATATATTTAAAACCCCCCATAACCCCCTATAAGCCCCCCCCCGTTTGAGGAACACACACTTTGAGCTTTCACCCTTAGCCACCCTTAGTACCAAGAGTTAGTCTCTGGGATAATCTGAGATAATTATGAAACTTATTAAATATAGAATGGTGCTAAATTGTGAATTTGGACATAGAACTAACACTATTGTGTTCAAGACAATCTCTATATTCCGTAAATATGCCAAATTAACCAATCTAGACACTTTCCATAAATAGCCATTGGAACCGAAATGAGACTAACATAAAGGCCATGGTAGCGAGGGTGTTTAGCAGACACAGTAAGTTATTATGTAGCAATATTGAAGGACTAAACTCAATACGCAAAGGTTCTTGCCAAACTAGTACAAAACAGAGCAAAAGAAAAAGGTTGATAAAGAAAACTAATAGCAACAACTTCTCTGCCATTGTACTAGTAAAGAGAGAGTGTCCATAAGGATTAGCCAACAAGTATTTTTTGATACCCAAAGGCACATTCGTGATAGAAGCTATGCAAATTTTTTTATTGTCCAAAAATACAATATAATGTTATTCAATATATACATAATTACATTTAGTACCAAGCTTATAATACTCCCTTTTATGCTGCAAAAAAATAGTTAGAGTCAATTGTAGTTTTTTGTCTATTTAAGCTAATAACATTTAATCTGATGGGGCCTTGTCCACAGTCGATTGTTGACAATAAGTACATCATTATTACTTTCGACTACTTGATTTGGTGGGTGGAAGTCGGTGCTCTTACTAGTGTATTTGCAATTGTAGTTAATACTTTCTCTATAATTAAGTGGTGTTCTAGCATTCTTACTTAAAGTGGTTTCTCTCAAATAATGGTCTCGTATTTATAGATGAGGCATCTTGATATCTCGACTAGGGATATACCACACTTTCATGAGTGGTTATTATTCATAGATGGATGGTTTGATGGAATAGCTCATTCAAACTTTCAAAGAAATGATTGTGTAGTATATGAATTTTTAACATTCAATTGGGATAATTATTTGTCATCTCTTCAATATGTGTATCTTATGGGTGTATAGAGTTCTATTAATGCCTCATTATATAAACTTTTATATGACCATAATTTGATATTACCAATGGCTATCAACTAAGGGATTGCTTTCCATCTTTCCAAGAGGAGGGGATAAAGTGAGGTCTAAGTGTACAAGTACAATTGTATACTAATATAAGTGTAATGGGATTGTGATAGCCATTGAATTGATTTTAATTTGAACCACTTACTTAAATTAGAGTTTTTAGGTTAATCTAATATATATATTTTTGTACTCTATTTCTATAATCCATGCAATAAAAAATGGTATATAAATATATACACTACTTAAATTTTGGTAAAGGTAACACTAAAAGCTAAGATTAGCTCTAATGGGAGAGCTATAAATATTTAGAAATTTATATTCTAGTTTATAATTTAGAATTTATTATTAATAAAATAATATTTAAATATAGAGAAATAAAAATTTCTTTTACATTTGGAAGAATATAGAAGTTTTAGTCTATTAAAGCTAATCTAAAATTAGTTTTTGAAGTATTTAGATAGGTATTATTTTATTTATTGTTTTGTTTTATTATTTTTATATAATAAATAAAATAATAAATAAAACAATATAAATCCTATTTTTTTAATATTTCATAACTGTTTATTTAATATAAAAAATTTCTAATCTATAAAATGGTGTTAAAAATATGTATAGTAGTGTTTTATTTTATAAATTTTGTATATGGAGTAACTATAGACTGGGGGGAAAAAGAAGTTCTTAGTGAACAAGATATTCAAATTATAATTGATCAAGGTTTTTTAAATTTAACAAGTAATATAACTCATTATGCTAATTATCCAGCAAATTATAAAGATGCAAGAATGGTTGAAATTAGTAAAGGTGCTGTTTTTGTAAGGATTGAATGTGTAGGAGATAAATGTAAATCTGGTAAATCAACAAATAAACAAGTGATTGGATCAAGAATAAGATATGGAATAAAATATACAATAGATGAATATAAATCATTATTATTATCGAAACGAGCAGATAAATGTAAAATAACATTAACAAAATATATAATTGAGTACAGTCTTCAATTTCTGTGGACTCCTCAATTACAAAATATAAAAGCATTTCGATTTGCTTATAAAAATATTCATTCTAGGCAAGATTGTGATACAAGTTTAACCACTTTAAATGCTGGTTTTCGAGAATTTCGTTTATATAAAGGCAACTTCTTAATATCATCTAATGGTAGAAATATATTATATTTAAAATCAAATTGTCAGCTTGTAGTTTTCTCAGGTAAAAATCTTTTATGGCAATCTGAAAATGTTTTCTTTTATGAAGGCAATTGTGTACTTATTTTACAAATTGATGGAAATCTTGTTATATATACTGACACAAAAAACGTTTTATGGTCTATAAACAAATATTGCGAGAAATGCATTTCTCTTACATACCTTATTATTGAAGATAATTGTGACTTTGTCATTTATGAAGCTTCAGCTCCAAATAATAGTTGGTGGAGAATAAAACTTAGTAATCATATAGGTTGCTTAAAAGATAGAGTTTCTTGAAATTGCAAAATATTAAAAAAAATTGAGAAATGAATTGCTATTCTAAGCCCACTCTCCCACATATTTAAAACAAGAATAAAAGTTTGAGCTTTTTTCTAATTTTATAAATTAATAATTTTTATTTCATCTGACTATAAATTGCTGTTAATGCACAAAATGCCTAGTAGAGGCAACACATGTTCCTTACATAGCTCAGAATTTAATAACAAACTGGACCAGTTCCTTATGTGATTGAGCACATTTTTATGGGCTTTTGGGTGCATGGTAAGGTTTTAAAACTCTTTCACAACAGATGGCAAATGTAGTGAGATCCCTCACTTTTAAATTGAAACATCATGTCCTTTCTAGAGGATAAATCAAAGAATCCATGATGGTAAATTTCAGCTAACTATTTCTCTCTTCATTTTTTTGCATAATTAAGATCTTTTTGCAATTTCTTTGATTTTAATAATTTAGCTTTTTGTATGAATCCTAGATCTGATTGATCTAGAACTTTTGATTGCTCATTCCTGTTGAGAATCTTCTCGCGCAAGGAATCACGAGTGTGCCAGAGGCTTACATACAGCCCCACCCTCCAATCTATGGCTCGCAGCGTGGCAATTCGACTCAGATCCCGGTGATTGACCTGACGCTGCCCGAGGAGGAGATCACCGATGCGATCGCGAGGGCGTGCAAGGATTGGGGCTTCTTTCAGGTCATCTCTCACGGCGTGGCGCAGGAGATTGTTGATGGGATGCTCCAGGCGGCCAAGGATTTCTTCGATCTTCCCATGGCGGTGAGGATGAAATATTTCAGCGCCACGCCGATCCCCAAGACCACCGGCTACTCGGTCAGATTCGACAACTCGAGCGTCGTGGATTGGCGAGATTTCCTCTTCCAGAGCCTTTGCTATCCTCCGTGTAGCGATGCCGTTAAAGAATCGTGCCCGAGCGATCCTCCACACTACCGGTGAGCGCAATTTTTCCGAGAATGCAATCTTGATCGATTCCTATCGTTTTTCTCCAGAGATTCCAGCGCTAGGTACTGCGAGGCGATGCACGATCTGGGAAGAAAGCTGCTGAGATACGTCTCTAGAGGATTAGGCCTGGAATCCAACCGGATCGAGCAATCCCTAGAGGAACTCCATCACTCGATGCTGATGAATCGTTATCTTCCATGCCCACAGCCCGAGCTCGTGCTAGCGCTGCGGTCACACACAGACCCAAATGTCATCTCCCTATTGGTCGACAATGGAGTGCCTGGATTGCAAGTGCTCAAGGACGGCGCATGGATCACCGTCCATTCTTTACCCGGCGCAATCGTCGTTAACATGGGAGACCAACTCGAGGTAAAACGTAGATCTTGGTTTCTTACTTCTTACGTATTTGCACCCCAGATTATGAGCAATGGTAAATACAAGAGCGCCGAGCATCGCGCGTTGGCCAATTCTGATTCCACCAGATATTCCATCGCGAGCTTCTTCGAGCCACCGCCAGCTGGACCGTTGATCGCGCCCTTCCCCGAGCTTGTCAATGCCCAGGAGGAGTCGCAGTTTCAAGCCGTGTGCTACCGGGATTACCTCGCCATCTTTTTCGCCAAGCAGGCGAGTGGTAAATCTGTCATCACCCAGGTAAAGAAGTGAAAAATATGTAGCCCTGTCTATCTGGATCAGTTGTTTAAAAGACCTTCTTTGACTTTCCATTTTGTTTAAAAGACCTTCTTTGACTTTCCAATCGTCTTTGGCTTGCGCACTTTGCATTTTCCCACAAAGCCATTCATGCGCTTTGAGCACCTCTTCTGACTCTTCAGCTCAAGCTTCCTCATTCCTTTGGTGGAACGCACCAAAAGCTTGACGAGGAAAAGCACCAGGTATCATACGCTAGCTTGTTCCTGAATTTTGCCGATAGAGCTGCTCAGGTTCAGAAGGGGCGAATCTGTCAAGAAAGCATTGCTAAACGCGAGGCCTGCAAATGCTTCCATGGCGAAAGAAGTATTCTCACAATGCCGAGGTGTTCCAGTCCCACTTTGGGCAGAGAATCCCAACACGCGCAGTGCAAACAGCTGCTCCTTCGTGAAAGGACAAACTCCTATATGTTTAATCTTCTTGGCGGAAAATAGGAGCGTTTGACGGGGATCTCACCATCGCCCTATCTCCTCTTTGCCCTTTTTTACTTCCTTCGTTCAGGCGCCCATCCCTTAAAAGGTGTGTTTTATCTCATATTTTTCAAGTATTCTCATTACAGCGATCCAGGAATGAATTTGAAGCGTTCCAACACACGAAGTTCAACAGTGTGGTCGTCCTGGTTCACGATGGATAAATTTACAGGTAGTAGTGCCCGAGTTCTACTCTCCAGATCTTTCAAGCCAGTCTACTTGCATTCGTGGGATCATCAAGTGAAGAGAAACATCATGATAAGACGCTCTATAGTTCCTGAAAGTAGACATAAGCATTCTCAGGTTTGATATCCTTCTCTCGTTTTGCTTTTCGTACAAGAGGACGATGCCTTTGTGGCGACTTCTTCAGATCATATATGGAGCTTGCTCAACTCTTTTGATGCGTTTATACCCGTGCTACAGACCGACATAGACGCTGTGGTAAATTCATCCCAAACTTCGCTTTAGAAACTAAGTTTCTTCCTTCAGGGCTTGGTGACAGCGTGCAAATCAATGGTGGGGCGATACATGGATCGCAGCAAAATTGTTATAGTGATCACGCTCCAGAAAGACGCGCATCTGGCCTTGAAGGATCTGCCAAATGGTCCAAATGGTAAGTTGCAAGCTAAGGCATGCATGAATCTTTCCTTCTCTTCCTGTAGAGGAGAAGTTCACGAGCATCGAGTGCCTGGATTTTGGTAAGTTCCTGAGAATAACCTTTTGTTTCCAGCTTGATCATCCTCTACAGAGGGCAACGAGGAACCTTACACTGCAGAGGATACTTGTTACCAAAGCCTAAGGCTCATCGTTTGTTCTTTTTTGCTGCTGCTAAATCACTGGATGTTTTTCCAGTGGATGGCGAGGAGCAGACTCCCGAGACTCATTTGGGCACGAAAGCGCGATCAAAGTTTCAACATCGCTGCGCTATTGAGCTCACCAGATCTAGACCATGAGGATGAGCGAGGAGGACAAAGAAAGCTTTCCAGCGATCCAACCAGCGAGAGGAGGATAGGGAGATGTAACTTCGAGTGTTCTTCCAAGAGCGCATCTAGGAATCTAATTTTGTCCAAAGATGGTGTGCATATCAATCTCATGTGGTTCCCGAATTATTAGGCACACTCCCACACTTTTGGGAACTCCTAGTCTTCCACGGTCGCCATCACCGACGAAGACTGGAGAATGGGGGATTTGACAATGTGATCCACGAGCATAGGTAAGTGTGAGTGATCTTATAGGGATCGATCGATCGAGCAAGGCATCCGAGAGAGATTTGCATCATGTACGTGGTGGAGGACAAAGGGGGCGCCATCGCGCTCATGCTCACGGCGCTCGTCTTCCTGGGGACATGGCCAGCGATCATGAACCTGTTAGAACGAAGAGGGCGATTGCCACAGCACACGTACCTCGACTACTGCATCACCAATTACATTGCTGCCATTGTCATCGCGCTCACGCTCGGCCAGATCGGCGAGAGTTCCACTCAGACTCCCAATTTCCTGGAGCAGCTCAAGCAGGTGATGGCACCACCTTCTTCCTTTTGTTCTTCTTCGTCTGTGATTGTTGATGGGCTTCTTTCTCTTTCCTGGTCGGAGGATCTTCCAGGATAACTGGCCGTCTGTTGGATTCGCCATGGCCGGTGGAATCGTCCTGTGCCTAGGAAACCTCTCCCTCCAGTACGCGCTAGCATACGTTGGTCTGTCGGTAGCCGAAGTTATCTCGTGCAGCATCACTGTCGTCGCTGGTAAGGACAAGTTTTTCCCGACTTTGGAGTGATCGATCTCGTTCCATGATCCTTCACTGTTCTTGAGTGTCCCAGGCACCACCATGAACTACTTTCTCGACGATCGGATCAACCGGGCCGAGATTCTCTTCCCTGGAGTCGCCTGCTTCCTGATCGCTGTCTTTCTCGGCTCGGCGCTGCATTCTTCCAACACCAAAGATAACCGAGCCAAGCTCGCGGCCGCAGAGCTTCTCAACAGCAAGTAAGTCACTGTTCTTCCCCCATGGCTGGATCGATCAACTTCGCTCTTACTTGGCAGTGATGGCTCCGGATCTTCTTACAAAAGATTGGACGTCGAGATGGCGGCTGTGGAAACCAAGAACCAACCGGAGGAGGAGAACGGCACCACCAAAACTGTCAAAGCTCAAGCTGGAACTGCCGAGTTCCTCGATCAACTCGAGCACAAGCGAGCGATCAAAGTACGTTGTACTAGTAGCTGCTTGTTCCTGAGCCAGGTTTCTTCTTTTCTGGATGTAGAACACCACCTCCAACACCATCCTGGGCCTGGGAATCATCTTCTTCGCAGGCGCTTGCTTCTCCCTCTTCAGTCCGGCTTTCAACGTTGCCACCAACGATCAGTGGCACACTCTAAAGCCCGGAGTTCCCCGCTTGGTGGTATACACTGCCTTCTTCTACTTCAGCACATCCTTCTTCGTGCTCGCGCTCTTCCTCAGCCTTGTCCTCCTCTACCGCCCCGCCGTTGGACTGCCAAAGTCCTCCCTCACAGCTTACGTCGCGGATTGGAATGGAAGGCCGTGGGCATTGCTCGCAGGACTCTTGTGTGGCTTTGGAAACGGGCTCCAGTTCATGGGAGGCCAAGCTGCTGGTTACGCTGCTGCCGACGCTGTCCAGGTATGGATCGAAGTTTCTTCTTCGTCTTTGATGGTTTTGTTCTTTCTCCAGGCGATGCCGCTGGTTAGCACCCTGTGGGGTGTGCTCTTTTTTGGCGAGTACATTCGATCGTCGCGAAGAACGTACATGCTGCTGGCAGCCATGCTTACAATGTTTTGCATTGCGGTGGCAGTTCTCATGGCATCCTCAGGCCACCGAAAGCATTCCTGAGTAAAGTATACTACAGTTAGCTATGATCATCTGATAGATCAAAACTAAAGAAAGAAGGCACACACGAATTCAAGCCTTTGAGATCTCAATCAAAACTAAGAAAGAAGAAGAAGAAGAAGAGATGGAACTATAGCAAGAAGAAAAACCACCACAAAAGCAACTACTGGAAATAACCAAGAGACTTTGGGAGATCTACCAAACGATCTAGAGATTCTTACCAGATGCAAAGCAGTGACGAGCAGATAGAACCAATCCATTCTCCGTAAAAGAATGGAGCAAGATTCGCCCGCAAGATCGTCGAGATTTCCTCGCAGTTGAGGAATTCCGCGTGTCTGTCGATCCAGAACTGAGACCACTCACCGCCGCCTGTCGATCCACCAGCGCTGGAGCGTGACGAAGAAATCTTTCTCGCGGAGACGCAATTGCTCGATCGATCGAGGCAACCAAGCCCTGACAGACAGGTGTGAAGAGCTAGAGATGAAATACAAACCAACGGTCGAGATTACATCTCTTCTCCGGAAAGCAATGCTAAGACCGATCCAATGCTCGCGTCGTCGGCATTCTCGCCAGGGATTTCCAGGAGCGCGAGCAAATCCATCGCAATCCATCACTCATCGCGCCATTGCTTTTCTTTCCAGAGATTTCCTGTCGCTCCTGACCTAAAGTATGGGCGGATCGATCAGCGCGAGCCGGCGCGAGCTCCCCGACGGCGATGTGGTGGAGAAGCGGCTCGTCAAGGCGCTGCAGCAGCGCGCCGCGGCCGCCAAGAGCAGCGTCAAATCCTTCGACGCCATTCTCATGAAATTTTCCAAGATCGACATGGCCTTCGACCAAGTCCGTGACGTTTTCAAGCGATTTGGTACGTTTTTCCCCTTCTTTCTCTCTCGATCGAGCGAGTGTTGGATGGATCCTCGTGGCAGACAAGCACAAGAGAGGGACGATCGACCTCGAGCAGCTCAAGGCGTGTTTTCGAGAGCTCAAGGTTGAATTCACCGAAGAAGAGGTCCAGATCTTCTACGAGGAGGGGGATGTGGATCACAACCGGCGCATCAGTTTCAAGGAATTCATCGTTGTTCTTGCGCTAGCTTATCTCCTGGGAGAGCCTCTCAATTCCGATGGAGTAAGATCCAAATTTCTTCTTTTTTTCTTTGTTCTTTGCTCTAACCCGAGGTTTGTGTAGAAATCGAGGATTGGATTGCCGGACTTGGAGTGGAGCTTCGAGACGATCGAGGACGCGTTCGTCTTCTTTGACAAGAATGGCGATGGCTACGTCACAAAGGAAGAGATGATCGAGTCCATCCACGAGTCCTCACACGCGACTAATACGCAACAGGATAGCATAGGCGTCGAGAGATTTGGTACGTGAATCCATCAAACTTCCATCACTTCCTTTTCAATCTCTTGCTTCTTCCAGAGGAAATGGATTGGGATAGAGATGGTAGAGTCACATTCAAGGAGTTCCTCCTAGCATTCACTGGCTGGGTTGGGATCGAAGACGATGAAGATCAAGAGGATTAAAACCAAGGTTCCATGAATTTATTTTTTCCTCAAAGTTCTTCGACTAAAGTTTTGCTTTTTTTCTTTCTTGAAATCATAGAATGGAGCAACAAGAACTATACATAAGTTATCGTCAAGGTATTTCTTTCTAGACCCAACCAATGTTACGTATCATCAAGCTCCTTTTTATTCTAGTTCTAGCTGAGTGGAGCAAGATCCGGAACCATAGCCACAGTAACAACGAAGAACTCACAGCCGATGCCAAGGCCATAAGGATTGTAGCGAGGCCTTGATGCTGCTCCTCCTCCGCCTCCTGGAGGAGCTGCCGATGGTTCTCTAGTACTTGGCGATGGAGCGCGCCTGGCAACGTTCCGGTTGATGTGAACAATCTGTCCGACGATGTACTGCTGGCCGCTCGGCAAATTCTCCAGGAACAGCGCGATCGACTCGTCGGACAAGTAGTAATTCGGGCAGTTCCTGTTGAGAGCTTCCCAGTGGCCGGCCGAGTTTGGCATGAACACGGCAAGCTCGTGAACTTCAAAGCGAGTGAAGCAGATCTTTTCCTTCCTCGCCTGTAAAAAGTGTTCGATTGAAAAGAAAGACAAGTTTTAGTAATACCCGTTTCTCCAGCTTGTGCTTTGCATATAAGTTCTTCAGCATTTCGGCTTTGCTCTCGATGTCTTTGTTGAGATGACTCTGCGCTGCTTCCAACGAGCTACAGCGATCCATCATCTGCTGGATGATCCCCGCAACTCGGTCGGCAAGAATCCTTATCGAGGACTGGAACTCCAGCAAGCACGGGTCCTCCCGGTTCTCACTGCCACCATTCGAAGGGCTGAAAGAAGAAAAACGTGAGCTTACACTAGAGAAAAAATGGTGACAAACCTGGACAGAGAATTCGAGAGCGTAGCTAGTGACTCCACGAAGCCAGCAGCTCCGTCCACTGGAGTTGAGATGCAGTTATTCAGTCGTTCCATAAGGCCTCGGAGCCTCACGCTCGACGCTCTTAAGGACGCATACTCGGCCGCTCGGCGCTCGGCGGCACACAGATTAGTTCTTGCTTCTTCCCTTGCTTCGTGTAATCGATTCTCCAAGTGAGCACAGTTCATCTGAAAAGGCAGAGAGAGCTGCTGTTACCTCACGAGAACTGGACAAACGAAAAACAAAATCAATCCATCCATACCTGGCATTCTCGCAAAAGTTCAGCGCTACAGTCCACTTCTTCCTGCAGCTGAGCAGTCTTCGCAACGGCGTCTTTAAACTTCTCCTCCACTGCACTGAGCATCTGAGTCTTCTCGCTCAGACCAATTCCCAAGGCAGCTATCTCCTTGTCCTTCTCGCTCGCAGAGTCGCTCTTCTTTTCTCCCTTGTCTACCTCCAGTTTCTTGAGCGTTTCGGTCTCCACGACCATGTTCTCGTCAAGTCCTTCGTCGATCTGATCGCTAGCCTCTGTACACGAACTCCCTAGACGAGCAAGCCTGCTGCTGCCTTCGTCCATCGGCTCAGCACTGCTCAAGTTTCGAACATTCGTCAGCCCAGAGTTCTCGGACAAATCAAGTATTTCTTTCTTGAGCCCACCACCTTCACCGTTTCCGCTCGACGACAGCTTTTCGATCTGCGCGTCCTGTTCTCTCAACCTCTGCTCGAGCTCTCTTATCCGCTTCTCATAAGCGTTGCATTGCTGCTGCCTCATATCCAGCATTCCATGCAGCTGCTTCGCATGTAAATCTTTGAGCTGCAATGCTTCCGCCGTCTTCCTGGCAGCAATAGTCTCCCGACTGTCACCTCCAGCCTTGCCTTGCTCACTCAGACCCTCCGACTCCTCGGGCTGGAAATCGGGATCCAAGTTGCACAGCGTGGAAATAGCCGAAGCAAGCTCCGCCTTTAACCACGTATTTTCCACCTCCAGTTTGCTAGTCCCTGCTATCTCTTCTAGCTCCCCATCATCTGTGCTATCCGGTGCCCCCTCGGCTACTTTGTACAAGGCACCAACTAAAGACTCTGGAGCGTAGCGTTCCAGATCCGCCATATCTATGTCGAGCAGGCCCACGTCGAACGGAGCAATATTTACAATGCACTGGCTGGGAGCGTCGAAGAGTCCCATGGCGGCTAACACGTCCCTCGGGATGTACAAGCTCTGCACCTGGAGAAATTCTTCCCTTCGGGCCATCTCCATCTCCCTCTTCCTTGCAAGCTTCTCAGCCAGTTGCCCCGCCTGTCCCATGTAAAGCTTCATGCAAGCTTTCCTCCTCACCACCTCGGCAAGACACGCCTTGTAAGCGGAGCCAACCTTTCGGACAACCTTGAGCTCCTCGAAGATATCATCCTGTCGAGCCATGGCTTCTTTGAACGCTGAGAGTTGGTTTCTCATGTCTCGGATGCTTGCCTGGAGCGCTGCTACGCTTTGCATCCGCATATGGACCCCCATGCTCATCGCGTTCTTGCTCCTCCTACACGTATCTAAAAGCTTCCACAGTTCTCGATCACAGGCCTCCATCCTGGGTATGTGGCTCTTATCGTGAACTTCGTACATCGGTCCAAGAGCCGAGACGGCGTCGTGTGGACGAAGTGATGCTGTGTGCTGGCTATTCACGCAGTCGTCAATAAGCTTTCTTACGGTATTTACATCTTTGCTGCAAGAGCAAACACACAAAAAGGTTTAGAGAAGATAAAAAAAAGAGGTTTAAGATAAGACGCACCTAAGTGATTGAATGATGCTAGCCTGCTCCTCCTTGTAATGCAGGTGATTGTCAATTGTCTCCTCGAGCAGCCTCACGTCCACAGTTGAGCCAGTCACCAGCAAATCCTCCACACTCCTCTGGAGGATCACATACTCGTTCTTGAGCTGGGACACCTTGGCGAAGAACTGCTTATGCGACAAGGCACAGTCCTCCGCCCACTTCTTGAGGCTGCTTTCCTTCACACAATCCATCAACGTCTTCCTGCTCTCGGATTTCAATGCTGGATGCAACTTACAGAGACGAAGGCGCTCCAAATCTTTGTCAAAGTTGGCCAGCAGCTCCGAGTGCTGCCGGTGCTGCCTCGTAAAGTGTTTCATGAACTCCTGATAGAGCTGGTCGATCATCTTGTAGTAGTGCTCCATGTTGGCTCTGGCCGTCTCCAGCGCCATCTCCTGGACTTGCTGCTCGCGGTGTAAAGTTCTACACGCCTCAAACTTCTTCTGGCTGGAGCTCAAGATCCCACGACCCTTGTCGAGGTGGAACTTAAACTGGCGCTCGTAAGAAGGTAGAGCTCGCAGTGCCGGGTCTCTCGAGTCGTCCAAAGGGTGGCCATTCCCAGCAGTGGAAGACGGCTGTGGAGGGCACGGCGGCTCTCGCAGCGCCTCGGAAAATCTCTCCGCAAACTCTGCCTGTGGAGGGGGACAATCTGGGCTGAGCTTGTGGCGGCTGAAGAGAAACACTGCTCGATCCTGCGATGGCAAGCGATACGACCCAAGAGACCTGTGCGGCTCCAGCCGTGTATCCCCCACAATGAGGAGCTGCTCGTGCTGGAGAACACCCGTGAGCGACACGAGATAGCTCTGGACGTCCTCCACGCTCGTCGATGGCTGGCAATCCAGCTCAAACGAGAGCCCATTCTCCGCCACATGAATCAGCATGCTTGCGAGTGAAGATTACTCTGCCGCGATGGTAATTCTTCCGCTGGAGATGGATTCGAAAGACAGGGAATGCGCCAAAGCCCCTATGGCGATCCTAGGAACCCTAGTCCACGAAAATCCTTTCCTGACCTTGGATTTCGTGAAGGGCTTGGCGCTTCCTCCTCCTCCTTCTCCGTTCTCGCAGCCCTAACCCTGCCGCGCGGAGATGGAGCGCGCGCTGGGCGGCAGGGCGACGACGCCATCGTCGCAATCGCGAGCGTGATCGCTCATTCCTTCCCAATCTTCGTCCCGGCGCGCTCGCTCGCTCGCGGGGGATGGGACGAATCTATCCTCCTTCGATTCACACGGGCAACGCGGGCATATTAACCTGGCGAATATCCGCCCGAAGATAGGGCAATGTTTTTAAAAGTTCTCGAATATCCTCTTATATCCTTTTCTTCTCAAACGGCTATGGCGGGCTAGGGATTGGCGAGATTGGCGCAAGCGCAGGCGTCGCGCGACCGCGATCACAATTCGCAATGCGCGGCGAGCTGTTGTCCTCTCTTTTTTGTTGATTTGATGCGCGATCGCGATCCAGGCCTAGGGTTTCCATTAGCGAAAGGGAAAAGTAGCGTAGCTCAGCTAGATGCTGGAGGAACACAGTGCAAGCGCGCGAGGTTGATGCGATTCAGAGGCTCCAGGCGCGGACAATTCGTCGGTAATGCGACCTTCTGATAAGCTTTTGCTCGTGCGCTTCGTTGTCTTCTTTCCTTCCTTTATGGCTGGAGGTGTTGTTCGGTTGTATGTTGCTACAGTTCTTGCCAGGTGAGTGCTTGACTGAGTTCTATCGATTTTTCTTACATATTTTTCTTTGCCTTTTTTGGGTGAGCATGGTGTGGATTATTGTATGCTCTGGACTTACATTTCTTTCAGTACTAGTTTTGCCAGAATGCTTAGCTATTCTCTGGGCTTCAGCAGCAAAGTACGCTGCTCTTGCAGGATTTGTTTAGAGCACGGGCCTGACTGATGAAGTTTTCTTTTTTCGTTTTTTTCCCCTTCACTTTCCACCAGGCACTCAACGTGGGAAGCGTACACCGTCCACAGAGTCACATTCTCTCGACAAAGGAAGCGACGTCGTGTTTGTGAGGGATACGATCACGGTCCCAGGGAATAACACGAATTTGTGGCTATGCGAGGAAGTTTACGGTCACTTTCTTTTTCTCTTGCTCAACGTGCAAACGGGGAATGGTCCCCTGGTGGGCTGAGTGCTTTTCCTTGATGCTCTTGGGCGTAGTGGTGGTCATAGCCAAAGTCTTCCATTATTGAGTCTGTTCTAAGCTTGCGTTTTGTCTAGGAGACGTTGAGCACTCAAGGAGATGGCAATATGTGGCAGATACACATCCTTCATAAGTCCACAGCCCAGCCGTCGTCTTCATGTATGTTTTCTTCACCTTTTTCCTAATCCTTTTCTCTAAACTCCTTAATATCTGTTCCTTCACAGGATGGTCCTCACTACTCATCAACAGAACTTTTAGAAATGGCCATCAAGTTTCGAGGTATATAAATTCTTGCCTTTCCAACGTAGACGAAAGCCAGCGACGTGCTTCTTTGCTTTGCTCCTTTCTGCAAACGTTTTTAGCATTCTTTCATGGCTTCCGAGAGTGTGAAGGATCCCAACTTCAAGCATGACTTGGATCTGCAGAAGCAGAATCATGCTATGGAAGTGGATTCACCTTGCTCTCCTCCCACACTGAAAAGCCTCTGCATTCCCAGGACAAGATTCCGGAAGAGGGCTACATTGTGCCAGAAGGTCACTCTATCTTCCTGCTGTTCTTTCTCTGCTGACGCGCTTCCCTTTTGGTTGTATCAGCTCGGTGCAGAAGTCATTGCCACGTTCATCTTGGTATTCGCCGGTGCTGGCGCAGGAATGGTGAACGAACTTACAAACGGCTCGCTGACTTTCTTTGGAGTGGCCGCAGCAAACGGGCTCGTCGTTATGATGATGATTCATGCTACTGGTCATATCTCCGGGGCTCACATGAATCCTGCAGTTACCGTGGCTTTTGCAACTGTCCGACACTTTCCTTGGGCTCAGGTAAAGCATCTGCGTGCTTTTCGAGCTTCGCTTCTCCAAGTCCTTTTATCTATTCATTGTTTAACCCTTTTGTTTTTGTCTGTGACTCGTTCCAGGTGCCGCTGTACATTGGCTCCCAGATCGCCGCGTCAGTCAGCGCTTGCTTCGTGCTCCGGCAGCTTCTCACAGAAGTAAACAAGATTGGAGCGACAGTTCCTGCCGCTGGCAACGTGGTCCAAGCCTTGGTTTTGGAAATCATCGTCAGTTACATACTCATGTTTGTAGTGGCAGCGGTTTCCACTGACACTCGAGCCGTAAGATGCTAAACTCTTCCCCCTCTCTCAGCTCTCTAAGCGTGGTCCAGGTTGGAGAGCTGGCCGGACTCGCTGTTGGAGCTACAGTCGCGCTCAACAATCTCATTGCAGGGTACTCTTCCTTCTCTATTCATATACTTTCTCTCTCGATTTTGCATTTTTGTAGAGCTCCATGGAGAGGTAAGCTTTGGATCATTCTCTTGCGATTGACCTTCGTTTTTGCAGGAGAAAACCATTCCCCGGGGCATAGTGATTTGCGTTTTCCTTGGTGCTAAAGCTTTGGCTTGTTGGCTCTTGTGTTCGTCTAGGCCTCTTTCCGGAGCGTCGATGAATCCGGCCAGGAGCATCGGCCCGGCGGTGGCGAGGAACAACTATTCCGACGTGTGGATTTACATTGTTGGACCTGTGCTCGGCACCTTGGGTGGGGCGTGGTCTTACAATCTCATCAGAACTGTTGACAAGAATTTGTCCTCCTCGCGCTCCTTTTCGTCTCGCTCTTTCAACAAGAGAGATCAAATCGCCCAAATGCTCTAGAAGATAGAAAGAGTTTGTACAAGCATTTTCCGTACTCATAAACGCGCAGTACCGTACCGTTTATCTGTGGGCTAATCCAACCAGATCTTGGGCTTATTTCAAATTACAATGCTCACCTCACCAACTATCATCTTATCATCAAGATTCGTTGCCAAGAACCCTAAACTTGGCCTATGTCCGCCCAATCTTGATCAAGCAATGGTGATCTTCCAATGTAATCCTTGACCGGTCAAAGCTTCGAACGAACCTATGCGATCCAGGAGAGCGCTACAGCGATTCCTGCGGAGTGACCACAAGCTTCCACAATTTCTCGTGGGGGCCGGTGGTCGGGGTGGTGGTGGTGGAATTTTGAGCGGACAAGATCTGTAGGGAGTCTGTGAGGATCATTGTCAGCTACATGCCTCAGGTGGCGGGCTCCAGCTCGGCGATCGATCGGGCGTAACAACAGAGTGATCGATCCAAAACATGGATTGGATCATTGAACTCCTTTGGGAGAGACGTGGGTGGTCTACTGGAGCGCTCAATGGCGAGTGGTGGGAGCTGGGGTGATCGGATCAAATGGCTGCTCCAAGGATTTCCTCCCAGCTGGTTCAAGCCCGTCCCGAACTATGCGGGTATGTTCTTCCAATTTTCGCGTTTTGAATTCGCCATAGACTAACCCTAAATGATAGAATATGCTAATTGTAAACAAAGCTGCTTGTTCGAAGATCTCGGGATAGATCTGTCTCACTGATCTTGCGGAGGCATCAAAGCTATTTATCTCTGGATTGATATTGATCGTGCAAGGTTTTCAAGGTAACAGAATGGGGGTTTTGTGGCATGACAATTTAAGATGGCAGAAATATAGTCCCGACTTGTCTTCAAAGATCATGGCTGCGAAGAACTCCGGGGCCACGACCTTTGATCTCGGTGTCATTGTTTCCAGATCCCACCCTACAGGAGATTCATACCGCATTGACTTTGGCACTATGAAACAGATCAACACAAGAACTGGTTGCAAGCGGTCTGTCAAGATTGTCTACTCGTGGCGAGGAGAGGCATCAAATTCCAGAATCACAGCCAAGATGGTCAGCCGAGATGATGCTGTTTTGCTTCTGGACAATCTTTTGGATACGGAGCTCATGGAGATCATCGTGCCAGAGTTGCAGAGACAGTTTCCAAGGATACAGAGTGTTACTCCAAACCCGTTTCTGCAGGGTGGCGTCAGGAGCACCCATGAACGCTACTTCCAGTTCTGCAAGGCTCTCAGAGATCAAGGTGGCGGGCTTCGTAAGCTTGATGTTTGCTTCCATGGGAGCCCCGCAGAGAACCTTTCGTCCATTTTACAGTTTGGTCTGGATCCGTCAAAGACCAGGTACCAGGTGTTGTACTTTGCGACGGATCCATCCGTGTCTGTTCCATATTGCCGCGTCAAGCCTGGGATGGGATCAGTCACCATGATATTACTCTTGCAGATTCCCAAAGTTGCCAGTGATAATGGAGAATCAGTTCGTACATTACCAGTCTCCATGCCAGAGTGCCTGCTTCCAATTGGAACTTGTGTAGTCTCACAAGAGCAAAATAACGAGAAAATGAGCAAAAAATCAAGAGGCATCATGAACTTCTTTAAAAACATCTTATTTGTTTAAGGCAATTTTAAAATCAAAATTTACATTTGCAATAAATTCCTTGAACTTCTCCTCCAAGTATCAGATTTTCACGATATCATAGAAGGATTCCCATTCAAACTTTGATACCACAATCTTTGCTAACTTATTTCCACGGCTGTATGACCGCAACAACGATTATAATGACAATCACAAGCAAGAGGATGATGCCAACACACATGCACTTCCTCGTCCCTCGTTGCAATTTCTTCACTTTCTCCAACGCTGCGGTTCCCGTCTGGACGTGATCCACTGCTTTTGACACCTGAAGTAGTTTTAATCGTCAGAAACTTCCTCCTCTTTCTAGTTCTTCTCTTACTTGGTTCTCAATGTCGTCCAGCATCTCTCCTTGAGCTTCTACCAACACGGCCATATCCATGAAGATCTGAGAGCAAACACTCGTGAAAGGATTGATAAATTTATCGAGCTACCTGATGCAAATCCAGCAGCTTCTTCTCAATGTCCCTCACTGCGTCGTGCCGTTCTTGTATCTCAGCAATTGTATCGAGTATCTAGAGCGAGGATAGTGATGCTAACAGAAAAGAAAACGCAGGATCAAAGAGTGCTTACTTGGCCTCGGCCTTGTTCCTGAACAGCCTTTTGAAAAATTGTCTCACTGTCTCCAGTTTCGATCAACTTGTCAACAGTCTGTACCCAAAAGACGTAAGCAAACGTGAGGTTAGCTTCGGAATCGGAGTCCCCGAACCAACTCACCTCTTCGTCAGGCTTCTGACCAGTCACTACCAGCAGGACACAAAAGGTGTAAGAAAAGAAAGAAAGAAAAAATCAAAGTGCTTGAAATATACCAGTTTCTTTGTGGATTAGGATGGTCGGAAACCTGTAAATATCCTTCTTTCTACGACTTCGCGATACTCATCTTGTAGTTTTTGTCTTAGATTCTGCGGTTCCGTGGTCAAGAAAAACGGGAGAAAGTTTGTGCACTTTTGGTACCTGGAATTCTTGCATCACGTCTTTGAGTTTCTTCTTCAGCGTTCTGTCGTATCATTCTTAAGGTCAGTCAAAGGCTTTGCTAGCGGAAAGTAGAAAACGAGCTTACACTGTCATTGACATTCTTGTGCGGTCAGTGCTAGATCCTTCCCCACAGTTTGGTTTTTTCCTATTCAGAATGTTCTGCAGTAATGGTTAGAGCATACAAAAGAGAATATATAATAGCTTACCGCTTTGTCTAGTGACTCTATTTTATGTTTAATGTCCTGCGTTATTTTAGTGACTACATCGACCTGTGCTTCCATCTCATTCTTCTTGGCTAAGAGACATTGCATTGTGTGATTTCAATCCGAAAAAGAGAAAGCGATTGAGACAACAGCATACCTTTCATGACATCGGATTTTGTGACAGTCTTGGTATCCTCATGGGCGTCCTAAACGTAACGCTCTTACTTGAGTTACCGAAAAACAAAAAAAGAAAGAAAGAGAGAGAACCTGGAGTTTCTTGAGAGCTTTCCGAATGTTTGCCATCTCAGTTTTAATGTCCGCAACCTGCACGAGAGAAGAGATAAGCTAATGCGCAGAAAACAATTTGCGCATTCACCTAAAGCAAATGCAAAAGAGAAGCTCTATGGAGTGAAGTAGAAGAAAAACCTGCTGAAAGAATTCGGTCATTCCCATATCATCCGCTGGAGCTGCCTCTTCCGCATTTTTCTTCTCCGCTTTCTTGACTTTCTTCTTGGATTTCTTCTCTTTCTCTGGTTCTTCATCCTCGACGATCTGAATATCCTGTAAACAAAGAAATAATTGTTTTTCACTCCATTCAGCCTAAGCTTAGAGAATGCAGGCCACCACTCACCCCGAGAAGATCGTTCATGGCAATGGATCGATGAATCGATGGGGCGATGGGGCGATGGGGCGATGGGGCGATGGATCAAGTAAACCCTAGCTGGAGCGCTGGATCCTCGCGGGGTGCCAGTGTTCTTGGCGGAGACATAATAAATACGCGGAGGAAATGACCTAATTCCTGATCTCAGGCGATATTTGCCACGCTGGTCTTTCGGTTTAGGTCGAGAGCAAGAGAGAGAGGATGGATCGATGAAGCCCTAGCACGATTGTCAGCGCCGCTCGGCCGCCATGACCGACGCATCAATTCGCGCGGAAGCGGAGCAGCTCAAGGAACAAGCCAATGCGGCATTTCAAGGTAGGCACTCATTCCTGGGGATTCTCTCAGCTGATTCCTTGGGATTTTCCAGCTTGTAAGTTCTCCCACGCCAGGGAGTTGTACACACGGGCGATTGAGCTCGATGGTAGCAATCCCGTGTACTGGGCAAATCGGGCCTTCACGAATGTGAAGCTGGAAGAGTATGGAACCGCCATTATGGACGCTACCAAGGCGATTGAGTTGGATCGCAAGTACGTGAAGGTATTTCTCTAGGAAACCGAGCTAGCTTTTGGTGCTTACTTTCCGAGAACTCTCTTTTTCTTCTTGCAGGGATACTATCGACGAGGTGCGGCATATTTGGCTTTGGGAAAATTCAAAGAGGGGCTCAAGGACTTACGGCAGGTACTGTAGAGATTTTCTTTTTGCACAAAGTGTCACGAGAAGCTTTTTTCGTTTGGTTTTCTTCAAGGTATGCAAAATTGTTCCAAAAGATCCAGATGCAATGAGGAAGATCCGGGAGTGTGAGAATGCAATCAAGAAACTAAGATTCGAGGAAGCGGTTGCCAGCGACGAGAGACGCTCGGTTGCTGGAACAATAGATTACAGTGCTTTCGGTATGTTATGTGCTTTTTGTTCTGGAGAGCTCCTTGCTAATGTTTGTTTTGTTTTTGTTTTGCAGTAGTAGAGGACTCTTACACAGGAGCAAGGATACAAGGCCAGCATTTAGATTTGGCGTTTGTGAAGCAGATGATGCAAGATTTCAAGGACGAGAAACGGTTGCACAAAAGGTGTGGATTACTGTTGTTGCTGGCAATGCGCTGATTATTACGTTTCAGATACGCTTATCAGATAATGCGCGAAGCTTTGGATTTACTCTCTAGTCTTCCGTCTCTTGTGGAAGTAACAATCCCAGACAAATGCCATATAACTGTGTGTGGTGACATTCACGGCCAGGTAGAACTCCGCTTTCATTCCTTATACTATCGTCGGCTGACTTTTGACACTTCCAGTATTACGACCTGCTTAACATCTTTGAGATGAACGGCTTACCTTCAAATGAGAATCCTTACCTTTTTAACGGCGATTTTGTGGATCGCGGTTCTTTCTCTGTGGAGGTGATTCTGACTTTGTTCGCTTTTAAGTGCCTATATCCTCAAGGTTTGTGTGCCTTTTGTTCTTTCCGGATTTCCGACGAGCTAGAGACTTTTTGGTTGCAGGCATTTATCTGGCGAGGGGAAATCACGAGAGTCAAAGTATGAACAAGATCTACGGTTTTGATGGTGAAGTCAAGGCCAAGTACTTCTCCGACGTTATGCCAGAGTACTTTTCCGAGATATTCTGTGCTCTTCCGCTTGCACACGTCTTGAACAGCAAAGTATTCGTTGTCCACGGCGGTTTGTTTAGCACTGACAACGTAAAACTCTCCGACATTCGAGCCATCGACCGATTCAAGCAGCCGCCTGACGAAGGTACTAGTTTATCCGCTCAGTTTTGTGTTCCACGTTCAACTCCCTCCATGCAGGCTTGATGTGCGAGATGCTCTGGAGTGACCCTCATCCTGGCCTTGGAAGACAACCAAGCAAACGCGGGGTTGGATTATCCTTCGGCTCGGATGTGACCGAGAAGTTTTTGGAGCAAAACAATCTCGGTATTGCTCGTTTTCTTCCTTTTTACCTTTCAGTTCTAACTGATGTCGTTTTAGATCTTGTTGTAAGATCACACGAGGTGAAACCAGAAGGCTACGAGCAAGAACACAAAGGAAAACTCATCACCGTCTTCTCTGCTCCAAACTACTGCGATCAGATTGGCAACAAAGGAGCGTTTGTGCGGTTCGTGGCACCACATATGAAGCCCGAGTTCACGACATTCAAAGACGTGGTATGTGAAAAGTGGTTTCCTTCGCTCTCTCTTCTTTCGTTTTGATCGATCGTTTTCTTTGGTGTAGCCTCATCCAAGCGTGAAACCAATGGCTTACGCGCCCCAAGCCTATGCGAGCAGCTTTGGATTCTAGAGGCCGAGACGAGTGGATTCAAGATGATGAAGAAGCTTTCGATGTTATGTGGTATTGAGCTAAGGATTTAAAACAGACCAGAGTTTTTTTTTCTCAGCTAGATCGCGATAACATCTCCAAAATTGCGCATGAAGAAGATTGCTCCTCCAAACAGTCCCAGCGCTCTAGCCAGCCTCTGCGGTATATACATCAATCAATAAATGGATGGATTCACGGCAATGCAAGAGTGATTTTACCATGTTGAAGGCGCTGCGCTCGTCATCGTAGAGCTCAAACTCAATCCGGCGCTTGACGCCGCGGACGAAGCCCGAGGCGCTCTCGTAGGCAGCCGCGATCGCGCCCTTGCTCTCCTTGCCGCCATCGTCTTCGTGGATTCGCACCATTTCCTCTCCGCCCAAAAACCCTAGCGGAAACTAGATTTTAGGGTTCTACCCAACACTAGGGTTTTAGCGAGGCCGGAGCCGGAGGCATGGCGCGGGACTGCCTGGTTCATGTCACGACTGGCGTCGCTGTTGGAGGCGCAGTGGGCGGAGCTCTAGGTATTTCTTCCTAGCGGCATTCACGCAATCAATTGGTTCTTCCTTTGATCGATTGTTCTATATCGTTTCCAGGTGCTGTGTATGGAACATACGAGGCGTTTCGGTTCAAGGTAAGCACAAATTGGGATTGGATGCTTGCTCAAAACAAGATTTTGGATGCCTGCTCGAAACTTTTCTTTCGATCGATCGATCTATTGACGATTGTCTTTCCCTCTTTCCCAGGTTCCAGGGATGTTTAAAGTACGCTATGTTGGACAGACTACGCTAGGAAGCGCCGCGGTGTTTGGACTGTTTCTGGGTGTAGGAAGCTTGATTCACTGTGGAAGATAGATTCCAAAAAGGTGAACCATCTCAATTCTGCTCCATGGTTGTAGCCTCACTTTGGATCGATCCAGGAAAGATGGATGGATTCTCCACATCTCTTGTTCTGTATTTATTCGTAGTGGGGCTTGTTTCTTTCGTTCTTTTTTCTTCGCGGTCCGTGAGCTCCATCCATAGAGCGAGCGAGGCCGACACATTTTGGTAAATCTTTCACACATTGGGAATAAGATTATCAAACGCCTTGGTAAACAAAGTTGGAGTTTTGTTCTAGGAGACAAACGAAGAACATATGAACTTTAGAGCTTCATTTCATCCGCGGTGGAGAATTGCATACGCTTGCTGTATGACAAATCGAATGGCGAGAGAAGAAAATAGCTGGAAGAATAGTCCTGCTGCGGCTGCTGCTCGTCGTCCGGCATCACCACCCGGTTGAAAGCTGCAACGACGTTCCCAGAAAACATGGAGAACTCGGGTGAGCTCTCCACTGCCGAGAGGTGGTGATCTTGCTTGCTGGGGAGCGTGAAGGCCGGCACCGAGAACAGGCTCTGGGTTTCCTCGCCACCAAAGTTGGACTGGCGTGTCATCTCTCCCAGGTGATCCCCCCAGATGTCGTAGACGAGATCGACTGTCGGTGACGAGCAGGAGGCCTGATCGATTACGTCATCGCTCGAGAACCTGCTGCTCGTGTTGCAACTGCTGCTGCTGGAATCGTTGAGCTCGCTCGCACTCGTAGTATCGCTGCTGCTGTTCTTGGGAATCTTGCTCCCTGGAGCTCGGACAGACGGACTTATCTGCGACTGGAGCCGTGAACTGTTTAGAAAGCTAGCGGACTGCACCAGCGTTTTCTTCTTGTTGGCTGGAACTCCATCGTCGTGTGTTGATGTTCCTGCTTTTGGGTTTCCACCACCATCACCACCACCATCAGTAACTGACTTTCGAGCGACCGTCACCCATTCTCCATTCCCCGAAGCTTTGGAAGCGTGATGGTGGCGCTGCTTCTCCTTGCTTGGCTTGAGCTCGCTGGCCACCACTTTCTTGCGTATCTCGTCCTTCGGAACCCAGTGTGCTGCTGAAGTGTTGGATGAGGAAGATGACAGTGACGGCGCCGACGTCATTCTTCGGCCAACTTCGATATCCAGCCTCGAAAGTTTTGAGTCGGCGGCGGAGTGGTGGTGGTGATCGTCGGAGGAGAAGAGGGCGGGCCTCTGCGAGCTCAGTGGAGAAGCTGGTGAGGAACTCGGTGAAGAAGCTCCGCTTCTAGAAGCCTCGTGTTTCACCAGCGACACCGGGCCCTTCTTCCTCTTGCGTTTGCCACCTCGTTCCAGCTGCGTCTTCCTCGGAGACGAGGTTGGAGACATCGCTATGCTGTGCTGCTGCTTCGTAGCTTGGAGAAAATCAGAAGACGTGGAGCCAGCGCCAAGCTCGCCTTTAGAAATCCCGTCGTCGCTCGTCTGGTGTCGACCATCTTCGGCCACCTCTTCAGTTACCTTGACACGTATCTTCGACAAGTTTGATGGGCCTGTCGTCTCTTCAGCGATGATGCTGCTCGGTGAGAAGTCCCTGAACAGCGGCAGGCTGCCTGCCATTGCGGAACCACTGTCGCAGTCGGAGCTACTGAGTTTCTTGCTGCCAACTTTGGCTGGGAGAACCAGTACCGTGCAAAGCAGGCCGACGAATCCGACGTAGACAAAGAGCTTTCGGTACTTGAAGTAGGCAGGGATGTTGGCACAGAGACGAAGCATGTGATCAGGCAGGACCACCATCACAGGGACGTTGACAGTCCCGATCGAAGTAACGAGCTGGAGATTGTTGTGTCGTACTTGCGGCGAGACGAAGTCGTTTGACCTGTACGAGAGCTCGATCAGAGTGGTTTCTCCAGCCGCCAGGAGGAATCCACCGCAAGAACCAAGCTCAAATCCTTGCGAGCTGCATCCACCACTCATAAGTGACACCGAGTGCACTCTGAGAGGAATGTCACCTGTGTTCCTGGCTACGAAGCTTCCGTTCACAGGCTGCTTGCAAGATTCCGAGTTGATCTTCTCGGATAGGCTCGATAGATTCTCGTCAATCCCTGATGTCACAGTTGAGACAATTCGCAATGTCGTGCCAACCAGCCGAAGAGTCTCGACCGGTACGTTGTCCTCCAAGAACTTCAATTCGGCTGAGCTTCCGGTACCGCGTACCGGTATCCAGTCGATTGCTGTGAGGTTGTTCTTCACAGCTAGAAGACCTGTCCAAGTGCATCTCTGAGTCGGACGGAACAAGAGAGGCCCCAGATCAGCTTCCTGATAAGCTCTGAGAACCGTATCAGAAAGTCCACCTTCCTGTAAAACGAACGGACTTCTGTCGTCCCGAGCTTTGCAATCGCCGGACAACCCGATGGAACATTGACAACCAGAGGCTTCCCACTCGTGGCTCGGCAACAGCTTCACGGAAACGGGTCCATCACTGGGATTTTTGAAATGTAGCCAGACTGCCTCGGACCCTCCAACTTGGACGGTAGGAAGAATCAGTCCAGACTGCACGAAAAGGGATTGCGCAACCAGCTGTTGATGGTCATTCACCTCAACACCACCGGAGGGAAAAGTACCACTCTCAATATCGTTTTGCCCAAGTGTTCTACGTTCCAGCTTCTGCAAAATCAGCAAAAAGTGAGACGAAAAAACTAAAAGGTAAAACAGTAATTTTCAAGACAACTTTACCTCTAACTGCGACAACTTTATATCAACTCCAGCTTCAGCGAAAAGGACTCGCTCATCAACTTCGCCGTCGTCTCCCATGCTCGCTGATCCATGCAAGACCACAGCATGAAATGGAACTCGGATGATCTTACTTTGAGGGCTGCTGCCGTTGGTGTGAATGATCAGCGTCTCCAAGCCTGGAGAGTCCGCATCATCGGTCACCAAAGACAAGGTTTCCTCGATGCCCTGGTACCACGCGACCGCTACCTGTGCTTGCGTTCCGGGATGAACAACAAGGCCTTTCCTGTACCGAACTGCTATCAGATTTTTTCTACTCGGACTATCCACAGCATCACCCCGACTTACGAGCCTGATCACTAAACTGTCGGGCCCTGTGTTGAGTAACGTTACAGCCTGCTTCTTCACCTCTCTCCTGCTGCTAAGAAAACCAAAATTGATCACCTCTGGGACCGGCTCCAAAACCTGTCCTTGACTTCCAACTCTCACGTTAAATGGAATCAAAAGCTTTTCCTCGTCCACTTCTTTCGCTGCCAATGTAGAAAAGAGGGACAGTCCGAGGTAGATGAATCCGCTCCAGGTCCCTGTTGATTCGGCAGCTTTGAAGTGAACCTCGAGAACGTCCGACACGGAACCGGGACTTATCTCCCACGGAGCCACCGGTTTCAAGGTGAGATAGCTTCCCTGCTCTCGGTGATGACCCACGCAGCTGCACGAGGAACTGTCCGAGGAACAACACCGAGTGACACCAACATCGTTGTTATGAGGATTCGTCAGGATCAACGACCTGTTGCTCGAATCCGCAGGCCAGCCGCGGGCTTCCTTGACTCTGATAACTCGGCCACCTTGATCACCAGCCTTGTTGTGAAGTGAGATGGAGAACCGAAGAGTTTGTCCGCGGGTCACGGTCCTTCTTCCCAAGGGAGCAAGGCCAAAGGGAGAAGCGATACCATTCCCTTGTACTTGGACGAAGAAACCACCGAGGCTGGTCTGTAGCAAAACCACCGCTTGAGCCTGTCCTAGCGACCTGGGCCAGAAGACGATGTCTAGCGAAACCTCTTGCCCGGGCCGGAGATCCAATGGGGTTGGAGCGAAAGCGGCGGCATAGAACTGGATGCTGGAGCTGAAAGGAGTAAAGATCTTGAGCAGCGTGCTGTTGCAACGATTGGATACGGTGACCGTCAATGCCGACGGCGAGAAGAGCGGCCTATCCCCCCACTCCAAGAACGGAGGAAAAATCCCAACTTTGGGAGAGGACGATGTCGATGCTGGTCCCGGAGCAGCAGCAGCAGTGGCATCAAGATCATCCTGATAGCGATGGCGATGATCCCTGAGGGCTGCTGCCGATGACTGCAGCGGCGCAGGGAAGCCAACAAAACCCGGTTGGGAAACGACGATCTCGCAGGGTACCCTTGTCTGCTCGTCCGCCAGTGGCACAGCAGGCTTACCAGTGCCCGATTCGTGCTTGCTGCTGTCCACGACTAGATTCCTCCCAGTCTCTTGCGCTTGATCGCCCCCCACCGAGCCAGAAATGCACAACAAGACAAGTATCGCGAACCAAGAAGCCAGGAGCGGCAGAAATTGCGACGACGCTGGCAGCGACCTGTCAAAGCGAAAGCGCTCAATCAATCTATTGCCCCATAAGCATAGCATCATCCAAGAAGAGAGAGGGGCCGAGAATCGAAATATTTTACCTGGGGATGGAGGAATGGCGACCCGACGGCACCGACGCGAGCATCCATGATTGCAAGGGACTCGAAATCGATGCCCCGGAGGAAGACGATGCCAGGGAGAGGAGAAATATCAGTGCCAGCAGCACCATCACACACACACCAGCGAGAGCAGCAGCGGCAGCGAGGAGCGAGAGAGAGAGATTTACGCCAAGAGCATCAGGCGCGCCGCGATGGCCAAAACCTCATTCTTCCCAAAAACCCTTCCTCTGCCGCTGCCGCTGCTTGTCTTGGTCGCAAGAACGCCCCGGAAGAAAGCTATCTATCTATCTATCCTCCCCAGAAAAAAAGACCTAAGAGCTAATAGGAAGAAGAGGAAGAACGCTCTATAGCTAAAGCCTCTTTCTCTTTCTGTCCGTGGCCATCAAAAGAAAAAAAAAAGAAGGAATAATGTTGGTATCTGGAATTGAACCACGCACTACCTCGCAAGAAAAAGTATAGTAGCAAATTTTCTATGGTATCGAGGAAATCACCCACCCTTTCTCACTAAGATTTAATCGAATAAGAATATGGTGGGTCGCGGATCTTCACTGTTTGCTGGAAGAACAAGAACTATAGTTTTAGCACATAACACCTCTTTTCTTTTGGAATCTTGTCATCTTCCACGTACGTCCGCCACCAATCGCTCGCCGGGAAGGTTTTCCAAGTGTCCCACTCTTGGATTCGTTTTGTTTTTCCATTCTGCTGGATCGATCGATCGACCCCACTCCTTGTTGGATTCGTTTGTCGCTCCTGGTTATATAAGACCCCCGACCGCGATCGATAAATCGATCGATCTTCTACGAGCTTCTACGAGCTCACTGGCGATGGCGATGGCGCCTGTCCTTGCTCCTGCTGTGACGACGCTGGCGATGGCGATGGCGATGGCGATGGCGGAGACGAGGGAGTGATGAACGCCATGAGTTTCTTCTTCCAGGCCGCGTCTTCCTGCTTGTTGACCCACGAGAGGAAGGCGCTTTCGAGCAGGCAGAGCGAGTTGAGATAGAGGAGCTGGTGCTCTACCGGGACGAAGCGAAAGTTGACGGCCTGGAGCAGAGGCCACACCATTCCACCCGAGAGGAGGGCCGGGACTATGTCTCGCTTGACGTCGGCAAACACCTGAGAGCTCGGCTTTCCAGCCGTGAATCCCATCAATGAGAAGAAGAGTCCCAAGTGCACAGGCTCCAGTAAAGCGTCCGGGACGAGCTTTGCCACAATGAATCGCGGAGAATTTGGCGTCAGCAAAAGCTTCCTCTTCACGAATCTGTCCAGCCCCTGGTACCTGGCAGCAGCGCAATTCGTCAAAAGAGCTCCTCCACAATCGGCACAAAGGGGAAAAGAGGGAAAAGGGAAATTTGCGATCGATCGGCTGCCTACCAGTAATGACCGGCCGGCCCGACGAATCCCAATCCGAAAATGCAGCACGCCGCTGTTCTTTTCAGATCGATCGGCCTCTCCTCGTCGTCGTCTTGCATCGACGCATTAATCTTCTGCGCGATCACGTCGCCGCTTCCCCACAGGATCCCTGACACGATTGCTTGCGTGCGTACCGGGCGCGCCGCGAGCTGGCTGCGATACCACGACCACGCTCGACCTGCCGCCATCGCCGTCACTCGTCCATTGTACGCCAAAACCCTAGACTGGCCGATGGTGGTATATCCGCGAGAATCTTTGAAAGAATCCTTCCTCGTGCTTCAAAATCTGGGATGGGATGACCCGGCATTGGCAGAAATCTGGAAATTTCTTGATCCACTGGAAGTGTGGAGCAGCGGAGCAATGGATCAAGCAGCGAACCGCGAGAAATATTTCACTGAGCCCTTGTTAGGGTTCTTCATTACCGCATTATGGCTTGCGCGCTCAATGGATCGCAGCTCCAGCTCCAGGCGCTCTCGAATGACAGGCATTCCAGAATCCGTGGTCTCGATCTATGCCGATCCATGCCGCGCATCGAAATCTCCAGACTCCGGGTGAGTGAGATTTCGATTTCCCTTTTGCTTCGATCCGACTGGTTCGCTGTCCTTCCAGCAAAACAAGTCACTCAAGATCCAAGCGGGGGTGACTGTGAGCACCACCAAGTAAGCTCTCGTATCGATTCGCGTCTAGCTGTGGCGCTCTAAGCAAAAATGCCAGGGATACTGCTGCTCTTGGATCAGACATCGATTGGGAGAACATTGGGTTTGGAATTCGTTCTACGGACTTCATGTACGTAATGAAGACCGATCGAAACGGGGAATGGAGGTCGGGAGAACTTCTTCCATTTGGTAACTTGGAGCTCAGTCCTGCCGCTGGAGTGCTCAACTATGGACAAGTAAACAAACTTTTTTCTTTGTTTCTCTTGTACAATCCCTGTTTGATCCTTTGTTGTTCTTGCCAGGGCTTGTTTGAAGGCATGAAAGCTTACCGGACACAAGATGGCTCCGCGGTTTTGTTTCGACCAAAAGAAAATGCACTTCGTATGATCTCCGGAGCAAAACGAATGTGCATGCCGGCACCATCGGTAGGGGATTTCACTGCCGCTGTGAAGAGCACAGTGAAAGCAAACGTTCGTTGGGTATGTGGCCTCGCTCTAGCGGCTTTTAGCTGTTGTTTTTTTTTTTGTTTTCACAGGTTCTGTGACAGGTACCTCCTCATGGCAAAGGTTCTCTATACATCCGACCTTTGCTCATTGGATCCGGAGCTATTCTAGGCCTTGCACCAGCTCCGGAGTATAGCTTCATCATCTATGTGTCACCCGTGGGAAATTATTTCAAGGTTACACTGCTTTGAGTGCGCTGCTCTTATATTGACTACTGCGTGTTTGTTTTTTCTTCCTCGCAGAGTGGCTTAGCTCCTATCTCACTCAAAGTGGAAACGTTTTACCACCGCGCAGCACCTGGAGGAACTGGTGGCGTCAAGACGATTGGAAACTACGCTCCTGTAAGTTAGTGTTTTCGTGACTGGCGCACTGGGACCGATCCGCCACTTCTGCGTTTTTGTCGCTCTAACCTGACTTTTGTGTCGTGAAGGTTTTAAAGACACAACTCGATGCCAAGGACCAAGGCTTCTCGGATGTTTTGTATCTAGATGCTGCCGAGAACAAGTATGTCGAGGAGGTTTCGTCTTGCAACATTTTTACCGTGAAGGTAAGGTTGATTCACATCTTTGCTTCGGTAAGAAATATACTCTCGTATGCACAGGGTAACACGATCTCCACTCCTGAAACGCTGGGCACGATACTCCCTGGGATTACCAGGAAGAGCGTAATAGAACTTGCTCGAGACATGGGCTATAAGGTAGAAAACTTCTCTCAGCTTTTATATGTATAACTCGAGAGACTGTCACTCGATCTCAGGTGAAGGAGACGGCCGTGACAGTGGAGGAATTGCTTGACGCAGACGAGGTGTTTTGCACGGGGACGGCCGTGGTTGTCAATCCGGTTGGATCGATCACATACGGTGATAGAAGGTGCGAGTGAGTTTTTCTAATCTAGAGCAGTGACTAAAATTCGAGGTTTTGCAATTCAGGGTAACTTACAGTGATGGCGGCGTGGGAAAAGTGTCAAGAGCGCTAAGCACGTCCCTGACCGACATCCAGATGGGTAGAAGCGAAGATAAGTTTGGCTGGGTAGAACAACTGTGAAAGAAACATGGATAAATTTAAAGGTCCGCTATTTCCTTTAATGCACTCTAGGGTTTAGGGTTCTTGGGCAGGCTTTGGATGGTTAGGGCTCAGGCGGCTATGTGGATGATCAGGCTCCAAAGGCTTGCATCTGCGAGGGAGTTCCGGGCGCGATCGAGGCTCTGCGCGGCTAGATCGCATTCTTCTACCACATTTTCGACAGAAGAGGCAATCGGCGCCAAGGCCGCCAGTGGCAGCAGCGCGGCGCCCGAGGAAATCGCCCAGGAAGTCGCCAAAGCGACAGCAAGCTCAGCCAAGCAGGATGGATCTTTTTCCGAGGTGGAAGAGATGGTCGCGGAGGTGGGTTCTAAAGCGTCCTGGAGAGGGATCAAAGCGCTCTTTGGTCTCACAGCTACAGCTGCTATTGCCGGGGTTTCTTACGTGACCTATGGTAAGAGAGAAGAAATGTATGTCTTTTGCTTTCTCACTTCGTTCCTTTCTAGCTTACTCGTACGAGGATATTGAAAGGGTAGTGAAGCCTTTGCGTCAACAAAAACCTTTGATTACTCAAGACAAGCCAATTCTTGAGGTAAGAAGAGATTTATTTCCTCTCTATCAATCTGTGATAGTAACTCCTGTGTCTAACTTGGCAGAGAATACAAGATCTTGTTTACTGCACGTCTTGCGAGGGTATTCTTTCAATTTTGTAAGAATAGGTGTGCTGATCACGTAGTATATCGTTTTCTTAGTTGCCTTGGCAGCAACCGACGCGTATTTGGATTTGAGGAGGTCCGTGGAAGAGCAAGTTAAGGCAAGTTATCTGTTACCACGGCTCGGTTCTGGCGATTTAACTTGGTTTTCGTCTTTTGCAGGGTTTTGCGGCTCCGTCGTCTGATAAGTTGCTACCCGATTTGATTCCTCAGGAGCAGCATGTCTACACAATTGTCCTTGATCTAAATGAGACGCTGGTGTTTTCGGAGTGGAAGGTAGTGGCTTTTGAGCAACCCGTCCTCGTTTTAAATGTGATGTTACAGAGAGAGAGGGGCTGGGGTACTTTCAAACGCCCTGGAGTTGAAGCTTTTCTCGAAAAGCTAGCACACTACTATGAGATAGTTGTGTATTCTGATCAGCTAAGCTTTGTAAGTTGTTCACCCGGTGGCTTTGCTTTGCTCACGGCTCTTTGTTTTCTCAGTACGTGGATCCCATTTTGGAGAGGCTTGATCAGAAGGGTTGCATCCGCTATCGGCTAGCACGGGATGCCACGAACTATCTCGATGGGAAGCACTTTCGAGTGAGTATAACTTTGGTATGGTAGTGGACTTAAAAGTTGGTGTTTTTCCTGCCAGGACTTGTCCAAACTAAACAGGGATCCGAAGAAAATCATGTACATCAGCGGCCATGCTTTGGACACTTGTCTCCAACCCGAGAACGCAGTTCCTATCAAGCCCTGGAAACTGGAAAGCGACGATACCGCTCTTCTCGACCTCCTTCCCTTTCTCGAATGTAAGCCTCATTCATTCCTTTCTCATATCTTTCGCATTCTAAGCACGGATCGTATCGTATAGTTGTGGCGAGACAACGCCCCCCTGATGTGCGTACTGTTCTCGAGTCATACAAGGGACGTGACATTGCGACCGAGTTCCGCGAGAGAGCAAAGCAAAACCAGAGGTTTGAGAGCTGGATTTCCATTTAGTAAATCTTGACAATCTCTCGTTCGTTCCAGGCGAGTACAGGAAAGGAAGCAAGGCCAGGGGAAGTTCTGGCGTGGGTTGTGAGAAGAGCAAAGGAGACTAGCCTACTAATAGAACGAACTTAAGCATCAAATCAAGATCAAGAGCGAGCGCAAAAAATTTTCTTTCAGTTTTTACTTTTAGCCTGTACAGTTTTGCGCAACGGGAAAAAGATTTTTACATTTGCCATTAGTGTTATGGTTGATTCCAAACAAACGGGATAAGTTTTGAATATTCTTGTTGGATACACCGACAACGAGTCGCAACGAGTCCGCAGCTTTTTGGCGAGTGTGATGAGCTGGTTTGTGGTTACTCTATAAGTTTGGCACTTGGAAGAAATCCAGGAGGGAAGGAAGAGGGCTTTCTTTATTATAGCAAGGTAAAGTACCCGCTCGCGGGAGGAGGAAGCTCTCTCCCTCTCTCTCTCTCCTCCAAGATCGATGGACACCACGGCGTTCATCACATCGCTGGTCACCTCGCTGCTAATCTTCCTCTTTCTGTCGCTCCTCTACGTCTTGCTCGCGCGGCGGCCCAAGAATTACCCAGTCTACTACCCCGCCGTGCTCATCCGCGAGGAGGAAGGCAAGGGAAATCCCGAGGTTGCGCGCCTGCGCACGCCCTTCCAATGGCTGAGCGAGGCCTGGCGAGTCACCGAGTCGGAGATTGTGAGCTTCGCGGGCCTGGACGCCGCCATCTACATTCACCTCCTGGATGCCGGTAAGAGCGTTTGCGCAAGAATTTCCCTCCCGAGGCAAATCCATCGATCCATGGCTGTGCAGCGCTCAAGATCCTGAGCATAGCGGCGCTGTTTTGCCTTCCCGTACTCGTCACGGTGGCAGCACTGAGTGACGACTACGCGAGAAAAGCGAGGCCAAGCACCGGCGGCTCCACCACCGCCACGAACTCCACCGATGCTACATTCTCTGGCCTGAACAAGCTGGCCATGGGAAACATACCGGTGAGTGGAAATCAATCGTCTCGATCGTCTTGGCCACCACTCACCCTGATGCATTGGCGGCGCAGGAGCGGAACGCCAAGATCTGGCTCTTCGCCATCGGCGCCTACTGGCTCTCGGCGGCGGTCTACATCGTGCTGTGGACAAAGTACCGCCGAATCTCCAAGCTCCGCAAGTCCGTGCTCTCCTCGGGCGCCAGGCCCGAGCAATTCGCGGCGCTGGTGCGCGACATTCCCCGCTCCCACCGCGACACCGCCCAGATCGACGCCTTCTTCCGCCGCATCCACCCCGACTCCTACGAGCGATGCATCCCGGTGGGCGATCTCGGCGGCGCGTCCAAGACGTGGAAGGCGATGGAATCCACCAAGGCGAAGCTGGATCGCGCGCAGGCCGGGGTGACGAGCAGCAATCGCCCGCATCACAAGACTGGGACGCTCGGATTGCTCGGTCCCAGCGTCGACTCCGTGGATTTCTACAAGGAGAAGCTCCGGGAGGCGAGCGAACGGCACAAGAGCAGTAAAACCGCGGCGGCGGCGGCGCCGCCGGGGAGAGCGGCGATCCTGGTTTTCAACAATCCGGCGGCGGCGGCGGCTTGCGGGCAGTGCGTCTACTCGGCCTCCTCGGCCGGGCGATGGGTGACGAGCCCGGCGCCGGAGCCACGCCAGATGATCTGGGGGAATGTGAATATCCCCTGGTACCAGCGTTACATCCGGCAAGCGATCGTCTACACGCTGGTGGCGCTCACCATCCTCTTCTTCATGATACCCATTGGTTTCGTGTCCGCCTTCTCGACGCTGGACAAGCTCGAGAAGCTAGTGCCGTTTGTGAAGAACATCGAGAAGATCAAGGTGTTGAGCACCGTGCTCCAGGCCTACTTGCCGCAGCTGGCGCTCATCGTGTTCTTGGCGCTCTTGCCGACGCTGCTGCTCTTCCTGTCGCGGATGGAGGGGATTGTGTCGCAGAGCCATGTCGAGCGCGCCGCCGCCGGGAAGTACTTCTACTTCAACGTCTTCAACGTGTTCTTGGGCATCACCATCACCAGCTCGCTGTTTGACACGGTCAAGAAGATCCAGAAGGAGCCCAACTCGACCGTGTCACTGCTGGGCGCGGCCATTCCACCCGCGGCATCCTTCTTCATCACCTTCATCGCCCTCAGGTAAGTGTCAGTAGCGCAAGAGTTCTTTCTGGAAACTTAGCTAGTTTTCTTCATTTTTGCACAGGTTCTTCGTTGGCTATGGCTTGCAGCTCTCGAGGCTGGTGCCGCTGATCATGTTTCGCATCAAGAAGAAGTACCTCTGCAAGACGAAAGAGGATATCAGAGCTGCATGGGCACCCAAAGATTTTAGCTATGCCACCAGAGTTCCCGGAGACATGCTCATACTCACCATCGCACTCTGCTATGCTGTGATCGCACCCATGGTTCTTCCTTTTGCGCTTGTCTACTTTGCCTTCGCGTGGATCATCGCTCGGCACGAGGTTGGAGCTCTCTTCCCTTTGCTGTTTCTTCCAACTTTTGTGCTAAGATCTCTTTCTCCAGGCGTTGAAGGTGGTGGTGCCGGCTTATGAGAGCTACGGTCGAATGTGGCCTCACATCCACACTAGAATTATTGCAGCTCTTCTCGTCTCGCAGCTTGCAATGCTCGGCTACTTCTCCATCAAGAAGTTTGTGTTCAGTCCCATCTTGGTGCCGCTGCCCATCGCCACACTGCTCTTCGCTCTCATCACCAACAAGATCTACTATCCCACCTTCAAGAATCCACCGCTGGAGGTGACCGGTCTCACCAAGGAGCACATCCCCACCGTCTCGAGCATCGTCACTGCCTACACGCCGAGTTATCTCGACGAAGAGCACGAGCGGGACAAATTTGAAGACGCTCGATCTGCGGTGACGTCGGCGGGGATCGCAGCGCCGCCTGTTTGATCGATGATCGATGGATTCCTGCCTGTGCCTACTTACTTGTTTTGTGTAAATTTGTGTTATTGTGTATGATAAGCTCCGCCTTTCAGCCAGTGTGCTCGGGCTTGACTCTTGCATCTCCGTTGGACAGTCCGGGGATTGGCTGCGCAGCACTTCTTCGAGATTCCTGCGCACGCGCGCGTGTAAGTAGAACTAAAAGAATTGTTTTTTTCTTTTTGCTAAGTTTGAGACTGACTGACCAGAGCCGATGCTGTACGTAACATTCGGTATGTTTCAGTCTCCTCGGGGAAGGCCTCCTCCACCTCCTCCAGGATGTGCTTTCGAAGTGCCTGCAAAGAGATTTGAGACAAGAGAGCAAAGAGAGGTCCCAGGAAGAACTCGCCTTGAAGGCGTCGACTTTGCCTTTGGTTGCCTGGTTTCGCTGAATGCAATGGTTAAGAAGATCCTTGGTGAATTCGTCGGGATTCTTGCCTTCGTCAATGAATCTGGCAAAACAGGTTGCTCAATCGGATCCCTGGGATGGATCGATTACCTTATCACCTCCACGGGGATCTCAAGGTTGCACTGGTTGGAGGAGGATTGCATCAAGTTGAGATCCTTGACAAGCTCATTCCTGGTTCCATGTAAAACATTAAATCAAACGTGTGAGAGAGACTCCAGCTCCAGCGCTGAGGAGAGGGAGAAGGATTGATTTTGAGGGAGATTCCAGCTCTAGCTCTAACGCTGAGAAGGAGAGGGAGAAGGATTGATTTTGAGAGAGATTCCAGCTTTAACGCTCACAAGAAGGGGGAAAGATTGTTTTTGAGCTCCAGGGAGGAATTCTTGCTTACAGGCGCTCCAGGACGAGCAGCTGCGATGGAAGCGTGAAAGAGGAGACGGAGCAGTGGAGCTGATGAAGTGTGGCGAGCGCGCTGTGCAAGCTCTCCTCCATCCCCGCCAGCGCCATTTTGCTGTTACTCTCCATCGCCTAGGGTTAGGGCTTTGAGCGGGCTTTGAGCCGGCTTTGAGCGCGCTTGGGCTATGGGGTCGTCGTCGCGCGTGTGCGTCAAGAATCTGCCCACCTATGTCACCGATGACAAGCTCAGGGAGCATTTCGGCGCCAAGGGACAGGTGACCGATGCCAAGGTGATGCGAACCAGGTGAGAGAGAGCTTGCTTTTCATCCATGGATGGAGACGAGATTGCGACATTGATTCCTTGCTCCACTCGCGCAGAGATGGCAAGTCTCGGAGGTTTGGATTCGTGGGATTCTACAGCCAGGAGGAAGCCGAATCGGCAGTCGCCTATTTCAACAGGTCATTCCTCGACACCTCCCGCCTGGTTTGCGAGGTAGACCATCATAGAATTTTTGTTCTCGCAATCTCGCAGTCTCGGAGCGTCTAGATTTTTCTTTCTCGCAACCTCGGCGCTACTCACATTCTCGTGATCTTGTCAGGTGGCACGCTCCGTTGGAGACGCAGCCGTGCGGCCATGGAGCCGTCACTCCAAAGGAAGCTCTGCGTACGAGAAGACGCATGCTCCAGAGGAGAAGGCCCAGCTCAAGCCGAAGAAAACCGTCTCGGTGGACCGCGATCAAGAGCAAGATCCTGGGCTTGACGAGTTTCTCAGCGTGATGCAACCGCGTACAAAGACGAAGGTCTGGGCGAACGACGACGCTAAACTTACAACTCAACAGCCAAGCAGCAAGGCGAGCGACGATGCGGGACCAGTCTCCGACTTGTACTACCTCAAGAGCAAGGTCCGGCAGCAGTGGAGTGACGATAGTGACGACGAGAAGGAAACGGAAGGAGGAGCCAAGCCGCAACAGCAAGCTGATACTGGCGATCGTCCCGGGAATGAAGAAGCTGCTCAGGATGTAGCGGAGACAGATACTGGGAGGCTTTTCGTGCGGAACCTTGCATACACCACGAGGTAAGTTCTTCAAAGGACGTAAACTGGGAGCCTCATTCTCGTGTTTTTCTTTTCACAAGTGAAGAGGAACTGGCTTCCTTGTTCGGCCAGTACGGGGAAGTTGTCCAAGTTCATTTGATTTGTGACAAGGAGACGAACCGCTCGAAGGGCTACGGGTATGTTGGCTTCACGCTACCGGAAGAAGCAACGAGGTATTTTCTCAGGTGCTGAATTCTTTGAAGGGCTAACTTCTCGTCTTTATCCAGGGCGATGACGGAGCTCGACAATTCTATCTTTCAAGGAAGACTTTTGCATGTTCTACCTGCGAAGCAGCAAACTTCACAAGTCAAACAGAAACTGTGAGTTCTTGCGTTTCATGTCTATGCTTGACTTCTCATCTCCGGGATTCTAGAGATCGCCCCATGAACCTGAAACAAGAGAGGGAGGTGGAGCGCAAGAAAAAGGAGTCGAGCGGTAATACGCAAGCATGGAATCCTCTGTACATGCGGCCAGATACGGTGTGTAGAGTTGACTTGCCACTTCTTACAATTTGCTCTGACGCAGGTGGCAGAAAACGTGGCCAGGCAATATGGGATCTCCAGACGTGAATTTCTGGATCCAGAAGCCGAGGACGTTGCAGTACGTCTTGCTCTGGGAGAAACGCACGTCCTTTCGGAGACGAAGCGGTCATTAGCTCAGCAAGGCGTAAATGTGGAACTGTTGGAGAAGATCAGCGCTAGTAAAACCTCTGGAGTAACTAGAAGCTCTCGCGTCATCCTCGTCAAGAATCTTCCCTTCAGCACAACGGAAGTGGACCTCTTCGGCGTGTTTTGCCCGTATGGAAGTCTTGGACGGCTCGTGCTTCCACCGACGAAAACCGTTGCTATCGTATGTGAGTTTTCTTCGTCTTGGTGCCTCCCTCCTGATCGGTTTATCTGTTCGCTTGATACAAGGTGGAGTTTCTGGAGTCCTCTGAGGCACGCAAAGCCTTCGAATCTCTAGCATACCGGAAATTCAAGTAAAGTTGTAACGGCTGGCTGAAGAAACGGTCTAATCTCGGATATATATATACTCTTGCAGGCACGTCCCATTGTATCTGGAATGGGCACCACAAGATCTTCTTTCCGAAAAGAAAGATGGTGGCGTTGTACCCGCAAAGCTTGAGGGAACTTCGATGAAGGACCAGCTTGTAGCAAATGACGAAGGGGCCGCTTCAACGAGGGTACGCTACTAAACTCTTTTGTATGAAGCTCATCGAAATTCGGCCTTGGCAGTCAAGCACTGTATTTGTGAAGAATTTGAACTTCAAGACCACTGACGCGAGCCTAAGGAAGCACTTCGAAGGCCGAGTAAAAGCCGGTTCCTTGCGGACAGCAACGGTGCGTGTTTGCTTTTCCTTTCTAGACTGTTGCTAAAATGGTTTGTGGAACTTGCAGGTGAAAAGAAAGCCATCCAAAACTGGAGCATCCTTGTCAATGGGTTTTGGCTTCGTGGAGTTCGACTCGGCTGACACGGCCGAGCGCGTCTGCAAGGAAATGCAGGTGAGAGAGAGGTTTTGCTGTCACACCGGGGATAATCGATCGTCCAAGCGCAGGGGTCTGTTCTTGACGGTCATGCTCTCGTTTTGCAACCAAGTCGCGCTGGCGACGACGAGAAACCAAGCAAAGTCGATGCAAAAGGAAGCTCTTCCAAGCTCATCGTGCGGAACGTGGCATTCGAGGCAACCCGGAAAGACTTGAAGCAGCTCTTCTCTCCTTTCGGACAGGTACGAGGTTTAGCGAGTTTGGAAAAACGTTTCGAGCCTTTCGCTCCAGGTGAAGAAGGTGAAGCTGCCCAAGAAGTTCGATGGCAACCATCGCGGCTTTGCGTTTGTGGAGTTTGTGACAAAGCAGGAGGCCCAGAACGCGTTTGAGGCGCTTGGGAGCAGCCATTTGTATGGGCGGCATTTGGTTCTCGAGTGGGCGCGCGAAGGAGAGACGCTCGACGAGTTGAGGATCAAGGCAGCATCGCAAGTGGCGCCCTCCAAGCCCAACAAGAGAAGAAAGCTATCCTAAAGAGTCGTGACCTAGGTAGAGTAGAATACAGCAAGAGAGAGAGATGGCTTCGTCGTCTTCGTCATCGCCGCCAGGGACAGCGGCGACGGCGGTGGTGGTGGCGGCGGGAGGAGCGGCGGATCCAGCAGTGGAACACCATCAGCCAGCACCATCACGGCGCCGCCTGGTCAAAGCTTCCTCGTACAGTAATTCTCTCTCTCCCTCTACCGCTTTCTCATGGTCTTCCTTTCTCAGGCTGAATAGCGCCAAGCGCGAGCGCGAGGCGGCGTCCGCTACACCCCCTCTCCCTCTCAAGAGAAGCAACAGCAAAGGTAATCTCAGCGCCATTGCGCTAGAGTTTCTCTCGGATCAAACCACTGTCAACTTTGGATTGTTTCGCAGGAAATGAAGAGCAGCAGCACACACCAAAGCATGGAAGGTAATGAATTTCTTCGCCTCCTTTTGCGACTCACACTTTGGCTCCTGTATTGGCAGGCCGCCTCTCAATCCTGCAGCGCCTCAAGACGCGCGGCCTCTTGGACGCCAAGCACAGGCACGTAAAACTTGCTCGGTGGAAGATGGAAGTATTTATTGTGTGTGGTGATTCAGGGGATGCGACCCGCTGCTCCGACTCTCGTAAAGCACGGGGACGAGCTGAGGATCCAGCAAGCGAAGAGAGCGGCTTTGGTTCGTGCACAGTCGGTTGGAGCCACTGGAAGTTTCAAAAGCTTCGACTCGCCGTTTGGTAACTATCTCCTTCCAGTCCTTCCTAATCAAGCATTGGCAGCCAAAACTGTGTCCCGAGGTAGTAGTAGCATCGCAAGCTAGGTGAGCTATGTATGATCAAAGACGATTCATTCCTTCTTGGTTCTCTTGCTCGTGCGCTTCACTTTGGGAGAGTTAGTTGTAGTTTTGGATGTCAGCCTGGACAGAGGCTTGCTGGAATCTACTACAGAGCAAAGTCAATAAAAAAACACGATGAGAAATGGTCTGATCACCCCACCTGTGATGTCCGATCCTTCCTTGCCGCGTGTGTTCTTCCGAACAGCTGTGCCGCGAGAGGTTTTGGTAGTCACCACACCGTCTTCCACATTTTCCTCAGGGGTGTTGCAAGAGCCTTTGTAAGGTGCCATGTAGCAGAACCTGGAAAGCCAGTGAGAAATCGCCGGATGTGGAAAGAAAAGAAAACAACAAACCAATGGTCTGGCAACTCTCCATGCCATTCCGGATCCATCACCCTCCACTTGAGGCATTTGGAGCACTGCACCCAGCTTTTGTCGGGGGCAAGCCCCTCCTTCTCCTCCTTCAACAAAAGGATAGAAACTTAGTGATACTCCTCGTAGAAACTAGCAGTGCTTACCGTGGTTAACTTCTCCACGCGAGTTTCCCAGTACTTGTCAGCTTCCTCCCCGAGCCATTTCTCCAGAGCAGCATACATCTCACAGTCCTCAAAGCCCTGCTTGCTATTCAACACGCCTACTCTGCCTCTGTCAAACTCCTGCATGGCCGACATTATCGTTTCAACTCTATATGCAAAGTTGTACCATCAGTTTGGTCGTTTCCACGACACCAATCACTCCTCGTCCCCATTCAGCACTGTGCACCATATTTCCAACCCTTTTGTAGGACTGTTCGAAGAGATGCACGACGACGGTGAGAGAGCCAACAAGTAGAACATACCTCGACAAGTCTGCCGTGCCAGTAGAGGAAAATGCCACAGTTTCCGCGCTTCCGCTCTAGCTCCATTACGCCCAGAGTCAACTGGACTGGTTTCCCCATGAGAGTAGCTCTGGTCACCCAGGTGCTGTTTAGCGTCTTGGCGAGACATTTTGTTGTCACCTGCAGAACAAAACAGGCAAGTCCATCAAAGAACCACTCAAACTGGATCCTCAGACCTTCTTCCCTTGGATCGAAACAATCATGCGTGGCTCCAAAAACATGACTTCCACATATGCTCGAAGCGAATAGTCGAGCGGGACCTGTCATAGACACTGGTTTTGGAAGACGGCGTACGAGAGATGGAATATATCCTACCTCGGGGCTTGTTTGTCCAGGTCGACTCCGCACACGCCTAGACCTTATCATGATGTCATCACTTTCGTTCCAGTCCAAGGAGAAAGACGAGCCCCATTTCTCGAGATCGAAAACGTAAATGATAGTCCCCGTTCCGCCTTCGAGCCTTTGAAACTCAGCACCAATTCCATACTCGTCAAAAGGTCCGTATGTGCATATCACGTCTCGATGCTTTTGTGAGTCTTCCAGCGTCTGCAAACCGGTGTCGATATCCATTCTGCCCGCCCGTCTGGTATACGTGACAATCGGCACCTCGAGGACCTGCATTGTTGCCAAACTTTTAGTACCTTAGAGACACGAGAACACGAGCAAGGCGGTACATCTTTGCCTTCGTTATAGCCAGTTGAGAGCAGTGCCATTGACCTCGTCTCCTTGCTTTGCGTGAGGACAAGGGCACCTCTACCGAGACGCATCACCCCTGTCTGATTTACAAACAAAGAAACCAGTAAACAAGAGATTGAGAAAAGGAAAAGAAATAAGAACCTTGAAGCCAACTCCAAACCTCCCGATTTGCTCTGGATCGTCTTGTTCCGGTTTCTTGTGGCCAAAAGACACCATCTTCACAATGTCTTTGTGAGTCATCCCAAGGCCATCGTCCAGGAAACAAAGCATCGGCACTTCTGATACCTCGGGGCTTTTCAACGTTCCCTTCTGAATCGAAATCTCAAGACTGGACGTGAGAAAGAGAGTGGCTATCAGTTCCATGCACGAGAAAAGTTAACGATAGCTCACCGCTTGGCTCCCGCATCGCAGGCGTTGTCAATGAGCTCGGCGACTGCACCAAAGAGCCAACTCGAATGCGTCTGGCTGAGCGTGGTGAGGTACTCCGGGTGCATTTGCGCGATCGGTCTCTTGACTGGCCCGGGCCTGGCGCGGTAGGCAACGTCCACAAGCTTCATTATCTTCTTGGTGGCCTCGTTCTCCTCCCCCGGTGGCTTCAACAGCAGCTGGACGTCTCCGACATTGATGACCGCAACCTGGTCGAGTGCGTGTATAGTGCGTGTGACAGAGACAGAGAAAGACATCTCTTACCCGGGAGTGATCGACGAGAAAGGTGAGCAGCTTATCCCACTCCCGGTAGTCACTCTCGCCACGGGCCATGATCTGGAACAGCGGAAGAGGCTTCCAATCGAACGCGCGAGCTGCATTGAAAGAAACGATGTCGAGGCGCTTGGGCCTGATCGAGCGAGGGAAAAAGGCGGGAAGACGAATGAGAAGCGAGCAAAACCAAAGCTTACGCACAGCTCCAATGGCGCATTCGAGGAGCACACCGCGCAGATGTGCTTGGCGTCGACGTTGAAAAGCCTGCCGTTCCATGCCTTGGAGGTGCGCGGCGGGAGGACCATGGCGCTCGGCGCTCATTCAAACCCGGCCAACCAACCCTAAATAAACCCTAGCTCGGAGCAACAAGGTTGGAATTCGAAGGGGATGGCGGGAAATCAGCCTAGACGCCGCGCAGGTACCGCGCAGCGTGTCGCCCTGCTGGCTGCACGCCCCCAGCAGCGCCATGCAAGCCTGCGCGTCGCCGCCGCCTATGCCACCGCCAGCGCTTACTCCACCCATCCCAAGCTGGGTCGCGAGTTTGAGCAACTGGAGATGGCAGTCGAGATCTTAGACAATGCTTCTGAAAAGACGTAAAATCTTTCTTGTTCTCATTTTCAGTCTTCAACACCTAAGAAAACACAAGTTTATATTTAATTTAAGAAAACTATTTTGTAATTGATTTTCTAGTTTTGTGGAGGCCAAAAAAACACTTTCATCATATTCCACAGCGAGTTTAAAGTCAGCATTTCATCAACCATGAACTACAGCATCGATATGTCTGATTATGATCACAGAGCGCCTTACCAGAATTGATATAGCCGCCCATCTCTGATCCAATCCTCCTCCAGGAAAAAGAATTAAAATGTGCAGGTCCTTTTTATCGCTAAAAGGAGCTTTTTGGAACGCCCAACTCTCTGCTTCCATCGACTCCTGAGAACATGATCAGCTGTAAGTTACGGCTCCCATCTTTCTTGTAGGTCTTGACAGGGTGCTGAGGAATTAGTACTAGGAGCTGGGAGTTCGAAAGAACTTTATAAATCTCCAGTGGTTTTTGTTGAACTCTTTACATTGACCGCAACGATTAGCAATTACTGTACAACGTGATTGAATTTGGACGCTTGATCCTTGTTCTCCTTTGTCCGCCGAGCAGTGAAGGAGCGAATGGTCTGCCATTTTTTGCATGGACTTTGTTGGAAGAGCGCAGACTTGATCGAAGGAATCAGATCCAAGCTAAGCCATCTCCAGAGTTGGCATGTTGAAACACTCTCCGTCATCTCTCTTGTCACCACCAAAAACTCACCTCCAGACCGCTCAAGCCCTGGATCTTTCCTTTCCCGTCGAGCAGCACGACCTTCCCAAACTCCTTTAGCAAGTAAACCAACAACGGATTCAGCTTCACCGCAGCAGCTTTCCTGTCCATGACTGTCTGGTTGTAGTTTCCACACTCTTATATTTTGGTCCTCAGCCTTGGAACTAAGCTGGAACACGTTGAGTTGCACGTCTTGCAATCCATATACTCTTCGTACATGCTCGCATGGGAAGATCGCGCAAGTAAGAGGAGTGTCCTCCCTCCTCTCTCTCCGGTAGTCACTCTGAAGAGTTCATGGCTGGCCAATCCCTTAGCTCGGAGCAGCAAGCTTGGAATTGGAGAGCGCAACGTAGGCGGCAGCCGCGGCCTGGGGGTGGCGGGAAATCAAGCTCGATGCCACGCAGGTACCGCGCAGCGTGTCGCCCTGCTGGCTGCACGCGCCCAGCACTGCCATCCACGCCTGCGCGTCGCCGCCGCCGCCGGCACCACTGCGCTGCACCAGGCGGTGCGCTTGTTCCACCCATCCCGCCCTGCCCAGCATGTCGACCACGCACCCCGTGTGCTCCTCCCGCGGCCACACGCCGTAGTCCGCCGCCATGGACGCGAAGCACGAGCAGCCGGCTTGGAGCATCCCGGCGTGGCTGCACGCCCCGAGGATGCTGATCAAGGTGACGTGATTCGGGCGGACGCCCTCGCGCTGCATCGCGTGGAACAGCCGGAACGCCTCCTCGGCGTGCCCGACCCCGGCGTAAGCCGCCACCATTGCGCTCCATGACATGATCGTCCGCCGCTGCGCGTCCATGGCTTCAAACACCTCGCGCGCCGCCGCCACCCTGCCGCTCTTGGCATACATGTTGACGGCCGCGTTGTCCAGCGCCGCCGAGCGCAGCTGGAGCTGGAGGCTCCAGCCGTGGACCTGACTCCCGCGCCGCGCGTCACCCGCGCCGGCGCACGCGTCCAGCACGCTGATGAGGGTGATGGCGTCGGGCTTGACGCCGTGCTGCTGCATGCCGCCAAACACCGCCAGCGCCAGGCGCGCGCGGCCGTGCTGCGCGTACGCCCCGATCATGGCGTTCCACGACACGACGTTGCGCTGCTCCATGCCGGCAAACACCGCCGCCGCCTCGTCGATGCTGCCGCAGCGGGCGTACATGCTGCACAGCGAGCAGCCGACCACGGCGTTGGTGCGCAGGGAGAGCGCCGGCGTGTCGCGTGACTGGAGGACAATCCTGCCGTGGATGCTCCGGCCGTGCTCCACCATCTCCGCCTTGTCGCAGGCGTTGAGGAAGTTGACGTAGGTGACCCTGTCGGGGTGGAAGCCGTGCTGCTCCATTTGCCGGAGGAGAACCACCGCCTCGTCCCCCCTGCCGGCGTTGGCGTAGCCAGCCATCATCACGTTCCAGGAGATCACGTCCCGCGCCGCCACCATGGAGGCGAAGATGGCGGCGGCGCGATCGACGTCGCCACGCTTGGCATGCATGTTGATGCACGCGTTCCTCACCGCCACCTCCTCCTCCACGCCACTCCCGGACAGGCCGGACTCGAGCCACTCCCCGATACCGCGCGACGCCGCCAGGCACGCATCCGACAGCAGGCACACCGCCGACGTCGCGTCCGGCTTGACGCCATGCAGCTGCATGACCTTGTAGAGATGCAGCGCCCGCCACGGCTGCGCGTTGAGAACGCACGCTCCCATCATCGCGTTCCACGGCACGACGTCGCCACCGCCACCCCGCACCGCCGCCATCTTGGCAAACATCCCCGCCGCGCCATCCACGTCCCCGCATTTACCCAGCAGGCTGATGAGCCCCGTCCCAATCGCGGCATCCCACTCCAGCCCCGTGTCCAGGATCTGCGCCACCATCTCCTTCGCCGCCACCGTCAGGACCGAGGACACTCCCGCTGGCTGCTGTGGCTGCTCGGACGCCATGCCGGGGGAGCCGAGCAGCGTAAGCTTGTTGTAGAGGCCACACAGGGATATGAAGGTGACTCGGTCCGGCGGCACGCCTTCTAGATGCATTTGCCGCAGAAGCTGCAAGCCCGCCATCGCCTCCTCCGCTTCAAATCCTCCTCCTCCTCCTTGGCCTTGGCTGCAGCGACGGGCATACGCAGTGATGAGACCGTTCCAAGTGACCGCATTGCGGATGCTACACCTGTGGAACATGCTCCAGGCGTCCTCCACGCTGCCGAGCTTGCCATACATGTAGACGAGCGCGTTGCACAGCATGGCGTCGCAAGCGGCGGCCAGCGGCGGCGTGGTGCACCACTCGTCAGCCTGCCGCAGCTGCGCCAGGCTGCTGCACGCGTTCACAACCGGCAGGAGCGTCACCGCGTTGGGCTGCACGCCGCCCTGCAGCATGGCGCGGAAGAGGTGCAGCAGCTGCGCGCCGTGGCCGTGCTGCGAGTAGCCGGACAGCATTGCGTTCCACGACACCTCGTTCCTCTCCGCCATGGAGTCGAAGACGAGGCGCGCGTCCTCGATGCTGCCGCACTTGGCGTACATGGTGATGAGCGACGTGCCGATCTGGACGCTGGGCTCCGTCCCAGCGGCGGCGCGGCGGCGGATCAAGTCGTGGACCGATCGCCCCTGATCCAGCAGTCCCGACTCGCCGCACGCTACCAGCGCCGCGCACAAGGTGGCGACGCCAACCTCTCGCTCCGGGGCGTCCAGTGCTGCCATCATCCTGTGGAAGAGCTCCAGGCCCCGATCGCTTCGACCATTGCGGGCGCAGGCACAGATGATCGCGTTCCACGCCAAGGCAGTGGGAGACTGGACTGCGTCAAACACCGCAAACGCCTCGTCCAGGCGCTGGCACCTCCCATACATGTTGACGAGAGCGGCCGTGACGGACGGATCGTCGCGGATGGCGGCGGCGTGGATGCAGCGATCGTGGATGGCTTTGCCTTGCTCCAGCGCCGCAAACTCGGCGCACAGGTTGACGACGGTGACAATGGTGACGGCGTTGGGAGCCACGCTCCACGTCTCGCCCCCGCCGCCGTCGTGCTCCGCCATGCTCCAGAAGAGATCCAGCGCCTCCTCCAGATGCCCGGACTGGGCATACCCCGCGATGAGCGCCGTCCACGTCACGACGTTCCTGGCGCGCGGCGCCATGGCGTCGAAGGTGGCGCGCGCCTCGCCCAGGCTGCTGCAGCGACAGTAGGCGGTGATGACGGCGGTGCAAACGATCACGTCGTCGAGGAATCCCCGCGCCGCGACGCTGGCGTGGATGATCCGCGCCTCCCTCGCGCTGCCGCAGGCATTGGCAACGCTGGTGAAGCTCACCCGGTCGGGCACCACGGAAGCCTCGAGCTGCATGGCGCGGAACACCGCCAGGGCGCCACGGCCATCACCGCCGGCGGCGTGGGCGGCGATGATGGTGTTCCACGACACGAGATTGGGGTGCTCCATGGACGCGAACACCGCCCTGGCCTCCTCCACGCGACCGCATTTGCCATACATGTTGATGAGATGGTTGAGCACGAGAGTGGAGGAGGATCCGGAGGAGCTGTGGCTGGAGAGGATGTGGGCGTGAATCCTCTGGCCCTGGGCCAGCGCCTTGAGCCGCGCACACGCTTGGAGCAGCCGGGCATACGTGCTCGCCTCCGCCGCAACGCCGCTCCTCTCCACGCACGCGACCATCCGTTCCACGCTCTCCTTGCTCAATGCCGATGGCCGATGCTTGCGCACCACCACCGCTGGGATCGCCGCCGCGTGCATCCATCGCCGCTGCTGGCGATCGCGCGGGAGGCGATTGACAAGCATTCATGGTTTTCTTAGGTCTAGGGTTTATTGGCTTTTGAGCGATGATCGAGGTGGAGCTGGAGCGCCTCGCCCTGTCCAGCGCCGCCGCGCCGCGCAAAAAGCAGGAGCAGCAGCAGCAGCACAGCAAGAGGAAGAAGAAGAAGGGCAAGAAGAAGAAGAAGCAATCGGGCGGGCGGCAGCAACCTCAACGGGGTGATTCTCGCAATCCTTTGTCTCGCGCCTTCCGCGCCTCGGCCGACGATGGCATCGCGGGGTTTGTGAGGAAGGCATGCGAGGCTCTGGCGGAGAGGAAGCGGCGGATCTTCATGTGGGAGGCGACGCTGCTCCTGGGGACGCATTTCATGAAGCAGGCTTTGCAACAAGCGACTGGCATCGCGGAAACTGCTGATGCGAGGGAGGTGTTCTGGTCCATCGTCCAAGCCAAGGCTGGGATAGAGCAGTACAGAGAGATTGTGGCTAGAGCCGCGGGGAAGAGGCAACCGAGACCCGCTCTTCCGCCGCCTCCCGACACCGCCAGTGGCAGCAGCTCTCCCACCGCCGCCGCCGCCGCCGCCGCCGCCACCCTCGCTCCTCCTCCCACTTTGGATCTCAATAGCAGCAACAAGCGGTCGCTGGAGGTGGTGATCAGGGATCTGGACGAACACGACGCGGAGACACAGAGGTTGGAGGAGGAACAGGAGAGGAAGCGGCTCAAGATGCAAGAAACCATCCAGGAGCTCAGTGTGCGCTTTGAGGAGGCCGTGAATTTTGCTACTCCAGTCTAGCTAGATTACAGTATAGCTCTCGTCACGTCGAGATAAACGCATGCAACAGAGCAACACTCTCGCTCTTGTGTTCCCTGTTCTTGCAAGAAACGCGCGTCCCTTTATTCTCTTGCTATACGCTGTTTAGCTTTCCAGCCGGTATGGCTGCTTAGCTTCCCACCTTGTAGCCTGCCAAGAAAGAAACGGGTATGTATGATCGAAGTGAGTAGACGAAAAACGTACCAGCGCAGCGGAAGTTCTTGGGGATGTTGTTCTTGAAGCCGCAGCGCTTGGGCACGGTGAGAGCGTTGGGCATGTTACGGATGACTCCGGCGTTTTTGGCTGCCACCAGCGTGCTGCACAGGCAGTTTACATCGTTCTTGAAGTGGGAGACGGCAGTGCAGCACGAGCTGCCCGGGTAGCCAGCGCTGCTGCTCACCGCATTCAGGCAGCCAGCCAGCTGAATGTAATTGTTGCTGCAAGCAGCCTCGGCATAACACGCGAGCACCAGCACCAGCATTGCCATCGCTACCACTGCTTTGGCCATGACGAGGATCGAGCAAGCTGCGTTACAAACCAAATGCTCCAAGAAGAAAAACTTTAGAACGAAACTGACTAGAGCTATCTCCGTTTAAATACAACTCACGGATCCATTGATTGAGTGTTGAAACAAACCGAAGAGCACAGCCGGCGCCTGCTGATTGCACATCCTTCCTGGCGGTGGCGATGGTTTCTGTGCTTCATAAATGGGCCTCGGGACGATTTAACAGCTTCCTCACCAAACAACGTACGTCACTCTGGATGCGTGGAAACTGGTGCTGTTTGAGCACCATCACTTGTGAACAATCCGGAATGACTCTATCGCCTGCAGCAGTAACAAGCACGAGTCAAGCGGCAACGAAAAAAATGACGAAACTTGTACCTCTTGCAATGCTTTCCTGTCCCTGTCTCCATCAGCCTCCCAGTACTGCAAACTCACGTAAAGTTTGTTTGAGAGCTCGGCATTTCCAAAAGCAGTACAAGCACCTGGCCGGTTGCCGTGTAGAGCTGCTTGTAAAACTGTGTCTCGCCAACACCGGCCACCGAGAAGAAATGGCGCTGGGCTTCCCCGGGCGTCTGGACGGTGTAGTCGAGATAATACATGCCGTTTCTCGACACAGCATTCACCAGCCGAGCCGCTGTTCCAGGCGGCCGCTTGTAGCTTCTATCCATGCTGCCAACCTGCGTGAATCCTCAAGAAAAACTCTCTCTGGCTGTGCGCACGTCAACTCACCACGCTCGCGGCGAACGAGTCCACGGATCCCAGTGAGCCGATCCCGGTGAAATCGGCACCCAGGTTCGTGATGATCACGTTCACTGCTTGAGCGACGATAGCGAGTGAGATCCAGAGATGAAAACTCTCGTCGTTATACCGTTTGGGAAAGTAGCCTTGGATGGATGGAATGCCACCACTCTTCTGGATCCGACTTTCCCCTCGCCTTTTATCCAGTCTGCATTCACGCTGAGACGATTAGAGAAGAACTTGCAAAACAAGGTAGCACCTTTGGGTACAGTGAGGGAGAACTTGTCTTGTTCCTCGTATACTTGATATTCATCTGAGGCTCCTGTCTTGCATCAAAGTTTAACGAACGATTGACAAGTACAATACCAGCAGCAAACACAGGCGTCGCCGGCATCGCCAACAGAGGCACCAGCAATAAGAGATTTCTCTTGCTCAGCCTGGAAAGCACGAAAAAACAGTAGTCGCAAAGAGAGCACCAATACCCCTTACGGTGGACAGGCAGCAGTAGCAGGAGCATTGAATGGCGGTCGACTTGAACTGGCTACACGGCAGCCGCAGTGAAGAAACGAGACATATCGTTACTGCCAGAATGAAATAATCACCTGGAACTGCTGGACGAACATAGCAGTTTGTATGCACACTTGCCATGACGCCACACTTCCCTGGCTGCCCCTATCTATTCTACTCTTGCAACCTGTGGCGAGAAACCAAACCTGAAGGACTTAGTGGCAAACACGATCTTTTCGCTTGTATAATAAATAAGAATAGTGAGCTCCATCCATCGATAGATCCGATCAATCTTCATCGCTGTCACTAACTACTGCTCTCCGCCTGTGCGTTTGCTGCTTTCTGGGAGGCGAATTTTGCTGCTGCTGCAGCTGTTCCCTGTCCCTGTCTTTCCTCTTGCGGCGGCTATCCCTTGCCTCCACTTCCTCCTCTTCTTCCTCCCCCTCGTCATCTTCCTGCTCTTCCTCACCTTCATCACCTCGCGCACCTCTATTGCGGTCGCTCTCGTCTGAATCCTCGTCTTCCAAAATATCCCTCCTGCTCCGCGAAGAAGGGCGTCGCTCCATTGCCTTTGGTGGTTGCTGCATGCGAAGAAACAGCCAGATATTAAGTATGCGGCTCTCGATGAGCTTACTTACCCGCTTAACCTGGTTGATTCGTCTCTCCGCCCTGCTTTCGGCATCAAGCTGGTCTTGGTACCGTCGGTTGCTACGCCCCTCGTCGTCATAATCTTCATCCTCCTGAAAAACGATTACCATAAGCCATTGCCAAAGAAAGTAAGGAAGTAAAACAGAGTTGACGAACCTCTTCAAGCGCCCCTTCAAGGTATCCAGGAGAAAGCTGAGGTTCTCTCTCCCGTGTAGGGGGGTATTTACGCATCGTCTTCTCCTGCTTTTTTTGGAGATCTTCTTTGCTTTTAATCCTCTGTTCTGCTGCCTGGGAGATTCAAAACGGCGTCAGAACTAAGTAACAAGCACAAGTACAACCTTCTCTTTTTGTTCTTTGTCCTTCTCGGGATCGAAGTCCGTGATCACATTCTTCACTTTGAACACCTTCTTGTGCGTAGAATCCACGAGAGCAGTTAAGAGACGGTGCGACTTCGATCTCAACGACGAAGGCATGAATCTCATCTTACGTGCCAGCCTCCCTTGGGCTTGTAATAATCCCTACAAGAGAGAAGTTGAATATAATCAAACCGAACTGCGAAAAGTAAGAAAGTGTTCGAACCTTGGGCTGACGGATAAACAAGTGTGATTCGTCTTGTTGCCCATCTTGAACAGCAAGATCCAGAACTTCATTGCCGAGAAGAAGTTGCATGCTACCATCGGACCACTTCACAAACCGGGCGTTGCTCTCGGCCTACACACGTATAAGTAAATATCCGTTCATCACAAAAGCGTACCGAGCGCGAGCCATCCCGATTCCTGACGTATCTCCAGCGCACCACGTTCTCCTCTATACGTATACGGCGTCGGCCAGTTTCATCAACAAATCCATCCTCTTCGACGTATGTCTTTGGATCAAAAGGCCTTTGCTCTATATCCATAATGTTGGAGATCCTGACGAGATTCATCTGAAAGCAAAGGCCCGTAAGCTCACGAGATAATGAAAAAGAAACAAGTGCCAAACTACTTGCGTTGTGAGCCTGAGTTGGAGGTTGCCTGAGTGGAACTTCTACTGTAAGAGGTTCACCCTTGGGTTTCTTGATTTCTGCGCGCTCTTCATCAGAGTAATACTGCTCCTCGTCATCCTCTGCACCCCGCTTACTATCTTTGTGGTAGCTTCCCTCCAAGTCCGAGCCCTCCCCCTGCTTCACACTATCAATGACTGACTTGGATGACACGAACAAGCAGCTTCGTCCACCCTACCTCTGGACTCGATGGCTTGCGAGGGCCGTCAACTCCTCCTTCCTCCTGATCGTCGTCATCAGAATCACCCAATGCTGCACGAATTCTAGCACCACGCTGCTCCTCCACCTCCTCGCTGCGATTTTTCCCGTGAGAAGCGAGGCCAGAAAACAAGCCAACAGCATACCTGCGAGTTGCTTCCCTTTCCTGGACTTGTCCATCGTTCTCAGAGCCGCTGGCGGCGCTCCCTTCTTCACCACCTCCGTCATCACTGCTCCTCCTGGACACTCTCTCATGCTCGCTCTCCTCCTTGTCGCCCTCACTGGCTTCCCGCTCGCCCTCGCTCTCTTCCCTGTCGCCACCGCTCTCGGCACCACCGCCCTCTGCCTCGCCTTCGCCTTCGCCCTCCTCCTCCTAGAGCACCAGCGGCAGATCTTTCAGTCCAATGTTGGCAGCGATCGATCCAACTTACAGAGTAGGAGGCAGCGGCATCGGCGTCGTCATCCGACTCCTCCCCGAAGAGCGACTCCATGAGATTCTCGCGCTTCTCCTCCCCCATTTTGCGAAACACCCCCAAGAACCCTAATTACCTGGACCTAGGTTTTAGCTGTCAAGGTTAACTGTTCGTCTCCTCGTCGCACTGCCATGGCGGCGGATGTGACTGGCGGGGTCGGTGGCGGCGGCGGCGGCGTCGGCGTCGGGAAAGCCAGAGAAGCGCGCCGCGCTTGGATGCGCCACTGTTGTTGAGGTGATCGAGCAGCATGCAAGTTGCGGGCGTGCGGTAGGTTTCTAAGCTTAGCTAAATCGCGCAAACTTGTTGAGCTGGATGGATTGCCTGCCAGAATGTCGGGGCGAGGCTGTCCCTATTTCGATCCTGACTACGATACTCTCATTTCCAGGCTCAACGCTCCCAGGTGCGTGGTTCTTCCATTTTCTATCCCGCCCTTGTTTCATTTCGCTTCTTTTCTCCTCAGCGTTGTCATCGACAACTCGAGCTGCGATGATGCAACGCTTGTCAAGGTAGCTATCACTGGTGTTGTTTGTTCTCCCCTGCATTTTCCCAGAGTTTGCGGTGGTTTTGCAGGTTGACAGTGCCAACAAGCACGGGATTCTACTGGAAGTTGTGCAAGTGCTCACGGACTTGGATCTCACCATTTCAAAGGCGTACATCTCGTCGGATGGTGGCTGGTTCATGGATGGTAAGGTTTCTCGTCTCCGCGGCTTTTTTTGTTGATGGTTCGCTGCAGTTTTCCATGTCACCGATAAGCTGGGACACAAGCTCAGGGACCAGGGCATAATCGACTACATACAGCAGGTTGGTCTGGCGTTTTCCTTCTTGCAACTTTTCTGTGAAACCAAAACCATGCTTCGCAGTCCCTTGGAGATGCACAGGCAACGACGAGTCAGGTGAAGACTTCCCTTGCACCGACTGTTGGGACGCAGTCCAGTGGCGGGCACACGGCAATTGAGCTCTCTGGAAGAGATCGGCCGGGTCTCTTGTCAGAGATATCGGGGGTTCTAACGGGCATGACGTGCAATGTAGTGGCAGCCGAAGTGTGGACACACAACAAGCGTGTTGCCTGCGTCGTTTACGTGACCGACGAGGCGACAGGCTGCCCGATAAAAGACCCCGAGAAGCTGGCCAGAATGAAAGAGCGGCTCTCGCAGGTGTTGAGAGGGGACGATGAGAACAGGCTTGCAACGACCGATTTCTCGTCGGGCCTGACGCACACAGAGAGACGATTGCACCAGATGATGCTGGCCGACCGCGACTACGATGTTCCCAGCAGCACAAGCAGCATCAACGCGGTCCTGGATGCCAGGATCAGGCCCGTCATAAGCTTGCGGAACTGCCTCGAGAAGGGCTACTCGGTCGTGAGCGTCCAGTGCAAGGACCGTCCCAAGCTGCTCTTTGACACAGTGTGCACGCTGACAGACATGGAGTATGTGGTATTTCACGCGTCAGCTAGAGCAGACGGCCCATACGCATACCAGGTTTGCCAGTTTTTTTTTTTCTCTCTCTCTCTCTCTTTTCTCGCTCATCCGGTTCGTCCGTGGCAGGAGTACTACATCAGACACATGGATGGCTGCACGCTGGATCTGGATGCCGAGCAGGAGCGCGTGGTAAAGTGCTTGGAGGCAGCAATCGAGCGGCGAGTGTCCGAGGTACTTTTTAAAAATCTCCTCTCGCTTTGCAGTAACGCTAGCTGCTCCAGGGGCTGCGACTGGAGCTGTGTACCCGAGACCGGGTTGGTCTGCTGTCGGACGTAACCAGGGTGTTCAGGGAGAAGGGGCTGTCGGTGACAAGGGCCGATGTGTCCACCCGGGGCGACAGGGCTGTCAATGTGTTTTACGTGACGGACACATCGGGCAAGGCGGTGAGCATGAAGGTGGTGGAGGCGCTGCGGCTGGAGATTGGGCAGGCAATCCTGGAGGTGAAGGAGGAAGTCAAGGAGGGAAGAGGAGAGGGAGCGGCGGAGGTGGCGGCGGAGGTGGCGGCGGCGGGGGGCATGAGCCGGTCGCGCTTCTCGTTTGGGAACCTGTCGGAGCGATTCTTTCACGGCCTGGGCCTCGTCAAGTCGTACTCTTGAGAGAGCAAGTTTAAAGCGGTGGTGGAGCGCGCATTTGTTTGTGTAAATATCTTCTTCTCGTGTCAATACAAAACACCATGGGCGTCGTGTATGAGGGAACCGACCTAGGCCTGGTGTGATGGAGGGTCTTGTGCATGGCGGCGGTGGCGGCGCTTGGTCCTGTGCTGGCGCCGCGGCGGTGGCGATGCAGCGGCGGGGGCGGCAGCAGCCGGTGCGATTGAGGGCCAGCGCCAGCAGCAGCAGCAGGAGTGGCGATCCATTGGAGCGACTGGCGGAGGAGGCCCGGCAAAAGGTGGGAGGAGCGGCGCGGACGGTGTCGGACACGGCGCAGCAGCTCTTGAGGGATGCCAGGCGGCGGGCGCAGGAATTCCAGGAGGAGCAGCATGTCCGCCAGCGTGTGCGGCAATTCACTCGGAGTGCCAACCAGAGAATGGAGGACATGGGGTTTGAGGTGAGGAGAAATGCCAACGAGTGGAATCGCAAGTACCGCTTCACGCACAGGGGGGCCGAGTTTGTCGACTACGTCAAGGACCAGCTCCACGCCGCGGACTCGCGCCTCAGGATCAGGCAACGAGCGCGAATGTTTGGCGTTGATGCGCGGATGAAATGGCCCACTGTAAGCTCTCAGCTCCTCCATCTCCATCCATCCTCTTTTGATTCAATTCCTGCCTTGCAGTACAGGAGACGGGTTTCACAGTTCCTCGACACTCCTCTGGGCAAGTTAGTGAGCGTAAGTCCTACTTCTCGTCTTGTTCTTCACCATCTCATCACTCTCTCGTTTCGACCAGACGATCATGTTTGCGTGGCTCGTTCTCTCGGGCTGGATATTCAAAGTCTTCGTTATCTCTATGTGGGTTCTCCCCATAGCAGCGCCTTTGCTCATCGGAACCATTGCAAGGAACACCATTGTCGAGGTACACGACTGAATGGGAGAGTTTTCCCCTTGTGCTAAAAGCAAGCTTTGTCGGCAGGGAGCTTGTCCCAACTGCAAGACGCAGTTTATTGGCAGCCGAGGTCAAGTAATCGTGTGCCGGGGTTGCAGGAACGTCGTGTGGCAACCACGAGATGACTTCTCCTCTTCCAAGGGGACCGGGGACCCGGATATAATAGACATCGATGTCGAAAACACCTGAGGCTCCCTGTGCGCGAATAAGGACGAACATGTTGCGGTGCTTTCTCGCGTCGTTCAAGCCTTGTAAATGACGAACCAGTTTACAAAATTCTTGTCACTTCTCGTTGGCACAACCAAAAGAGCTGTTTACTTTGATGTATGTATATGCCACTCTTATTCACTGTGTTGTGACGCTTTTTGCCAGGTTGCGTGGTTGATCCACGTTGTAACCCCGCAACACGGTCAGGTGGTAGGCAAGGAGCTACAAGAGATTTCCAATGTCAGCCTTGGGATTATAATGCGGAAGGAGACGTTACCTGAAGCGGCACAATGTTGATAACAGGTTGTAGGCAGTCTTCAACTCGGGGAACTTCGATGACTCGAGACACGCCGTAGGGGCAGACCGCTTCCGCATCGCCCTTTGTGCATATGACGATCAGTCGGCCTTTTCTGGCTCGAAGCTGTTGGATAACAGACTGCTGCTTACTGTCAGGGATCAAGGCATAACTTCGTGAGTAAGTAAGCAGAAGAAAGCAGGGGCGGAGCGCTTGCCTGAAAGTCGCATCTCGCGTTGCAATGACTATTATCGGCAGTGTCTCATCGACTAACGCAAGCGGGCCGTGCTTCATTTCCCCTGCTAGAATCCCTTCGCTGTGCATCAGAGCAACTTCCTTGACTTTCAAGGCGCCCTCCAAAGCAGTAGCGTAGTTGTAACCTCGCCCAAATATTAACAACGACTGCTCTTCGGTGAGTAGCTTGGCCAGCTCCTTCATGTCTTTGTCTAGTTTTAACACCTCCTTGACTTTATCTGCGAAAAGAAAAATGTTATCCTGTAGAGATGATGGTGCACAAGTGTGTCTTACTTGGAAGGTCAAAAAGTCCGTCCACAATTTCTTCTCTTCTGTTCCGGCTGGACATTGAATCGTCCCCAAGCGCCAGAGCCAACATAGTCATAACTGCTATTTGGCTTGTATACGCCTGGCGCAGCAAGAGCCCGTTAGAATCGCAAGGCAGAGATAAAGAGCGAACGAACCTTAGTACTCGCCACTCCAATCTCACATCCGGCATTTATGTGCACTCCACAATGGGTGCCACGAGCAATAGCACTACCCACAGTGTTGGTTATACCGACGCAAAGAGCTCCATGGGAATTGGCATACTCGAGAGCCTGTAGAGTGTCAGCAGTCTCTCCGGATTGACTGACGAAAACAGCAGTGTCTTCCCTGTATATTGGGCCTTGTCGATCGAGCAGATCGCTTGCCAGTTCCATTGTGACCGGAACACCTGCATTACAGACATTAGATTGGACGACAATGGTAATAAGTAAGGGCTCTACCGGAAAGCTCCTCAATGATCGGCCTTGCTGCCAGTGCAGCATTGTAACTGGTGCCGCAGCCGATAAAAATGATTCGCCGACTTCGCCTCATTGTCCTCAGATGATCTTTGAGACCTCCTAGAACAACACTCTTCAGCTTGGATTCACCCCCACGAATGAGGCGGCCGCGCATGGTTGTCGTCAGCGATTCTGGCTGCTCAAAAATCTCCTTTTCCATGTAGTGCTCGTAGTTGCCTTTCTTGATCTGTTCAACTTCAAGTTCAAGAAGAGAAAGGGCTCGCTGAACCGATGCTGGCCTCGATAGACCCCCAGGCTTTCTTGCTTTGTCCGAATCGAACTTGAAAATGGAGATGTTTCCATCCTAGAATCAGCTAAACAAGGTGAGGATATTTAAGGAAGTGAGAAAGAAGCATCACAAAACCTTGATATGGACGACTTCGTTGTCCTCAATGACCATGACCCGCTTTGTATGCTCAACCACGGCTGCCGCATCACTTGCTAGGAAGATCTCTTTGGGCTTCTTGATCCCGTTTGCCGTGGTGAGATCGGCTTCGAAAGCATCGGCTTTGGCATACTCCTCGCCGGTATCCTGGCAGTAGACAACAGATTCAACGATAGTAAGAGCGTTGAGTAGTAATGCCGACCAACCTTGACTCCTAGGAGCAGCGGGCTACCTCTTTTGCACGACACGAGCTCATTGGGATAGTGAGGACTCTTAAAGATGAGTGCATACGCTCCCTCGAGCTGCCTCATAACTTCCATCACTACTTGCGTGAACGAGACATCCGCGGCTTCTGCAAAAAAGTTAAAGAGAGGACGCATTAAATGGGAGACTAGTCCCAGATGCTTACCCTCGGACAACCTGTCGTGCACGAACTTGGCAAGCTTGGGAATGACCTCGGTATCAGTCTCGGACTCGAATTCAAAGCCGTGGCGCAGCAGCGTTTCTTTCAGCACCTGAAAATGGAGGAGGTTAGGGAGAGAACCACATGAGAAAGGCAGAGAGACCATATAGTTGGTGATAATGCCGTTGTGAACGACGAGGAAGTCATTCCCAGCTCCAGATGACTGGGGATGGCTGTTGCGCGGCGAGGGAAGGCCGTGAGTTGCCCACCTTGTGTGCGCAATCCCGGCATGGTTGCTGAAGCACAGCTCCAAGTCCAGCTCGCTCTGGTAAGCCTCTGGAGCCGGGCACCACCGTTAGCAAAAATGCCCAAGGACGAGAGCGAGAGGGAAGAGCTCACTCACTCACTCACCTTGGTAGACATTGGTGACGAGCTTCTCGATCTTCCCTTCCTCGCGGAAGACGAGCGGGGGAGGGGTGCGCAGCGAGAGCGACTTGGAAGTGGGAGGCCTGTGATCGGAATCGATGGAGATGCCAGATGAATCATATCCCCTGTATTCCAGCCGCCTGAGCCCGTTGAAGAGGAGCTCGAGGATGAATCGCCTCTCCCGCGGCACATCGAAGTTGAGGTAGGCGAAGATCCCGCACATCGTATCCTGCTCGCGATGGATCGATCGATTGCCCTAACCCTAGCATAGTCCCATGTGTTTTTTAGGTGCCAGAACGAGTCATTGTAGACGGCGCGTCTCACTCTTTCTTCTTACATTCCTTGTTCCTTGCCCTAATAAGCGCAAGTAGAGAAGGAAGAGGTCATGCAGATTTAGGGCAGCAGCGCGAGGAGGATGCTGCGACGGGCGGGAGGAGGCGGCTCCTCGTCGTCGTGGGAGGATATGGTGGCAGCTCGCCACTACCAGCAGCAGCAGCAGCAGCAGCAGCCACAGCGGCGGGACGAGGATCTGGCATTGTTTCAAGACATGCGCATCCGGGAGGAGCACAACGGCAGCATGGAGGCAGCAATGGATCAGCAGCACACTCCACTCCATGGCAGCAGCAACGGTAAAGCTTAGTTACAAACAAGAACATTCCTCTTCATTCTTGTCTCTGTGCGAAACTTGCTGACCGATTGGTTTTTGTTTTCTTCCTCGCTCTCCCTCTCTCTCTCTCTCTCTCTCTCTCTCTCTCTCTCTCTCTCGTTCCTTCGCATTCGCAGGCAAAGGAAGCCACATTCGAGGAGGATTAGCTCACGCGCGCAGCAGGGGATCCAATGATCTGCTCACATCCGAGACTGACAAGAACGACTACGATTGGTATGTCGCGTATAGACATGGGATGATTGAAACATGGATGTTTTCGCAGGCTGCTCACTCCGCCCGGCACACCGCTATTCCCATCGCTAGACCGCGACTGGCTCGTCGCAAGTCCGACGCAGCGGGAGAGGGAGAGGGAGAGGGAACCTCAAAGGGAGCGGGAGTCGTCTCGTTGGCCGAGCAAGCTGTCCAGAGTGAGTGTGCTTTGTTGGAACATGTGCCTGCTCTGCTCTGCTCAGCTCATTTCTCTTTCTTGCTTTGCCTCCTTGTTTTTTTTCTTTTCTTTTCTTTCTTTCTCCACAGCTCTCTGCGCCCGAGGCCCAACAGCTGCTGGTGTCGTCGTCATCGTCAGGTTCCTCTGGAGGATCCGGCTCCAGGCTGTACACTAACAGCATCGGCAGCAGCAGCGGCGTGAGGGGCAATCCCAGTCCCCGAAGGCAGAGTGCTCCGCCCGCTACTACGTCCTTCTCCTCCTCGAGACCCAAGCAACTGGTTGCCGCCACTAGCACCGCCACTACCACCTCCGTCGCCAATGGCAGCAGCGGGAATGCAAGGCCCTCCACTCCGACCAGAAGGCCGTCCACGGCACCATCTCCTTCCCCGTCCCTCTCCTCGTCTGCTCGTCGCCCGTCCACGCCGACCCCAGCGCCCAGGAGCAGCACCAGCTCCAGGCCTTCCACGCCAACAAGGCCCTCGCCAGCTTCCTCGAGGTCATCCACGCCAACCAGGAGATCCTCCTCCTCTACGTCTACTCCCACCTCCACACTCGTCACCTCGACCATGTCCAACGGCAGAAGCTCGCGGGGCACGTCTCCAGTTCGCCGGTCGCAGCAGCCAGCGGCAGCTCACGAGCGCTCGTCATCGAACTCTCGCGGCGCAGCAATCTCGCGAACAGATTTGGGAGGTGCCGCATCTACGTTGCCATCCCACCTCACCAGGAGTTACAACCACTTGGACCGTGATATGTCTAGCTTCAGCAGGAGGGCCGTCACCTCCACAAACGACTCTCTAATCCACCCCAAGTCGGAGCCACTCAGGAAGCCTGCCACAACAAAAGCTTGCAGCGGCGGCCCAAGGGAGACCTCCTTTTACGGGACGAGCATCTCCAAGAAGTCGCTTGACACGGCGATCAGGCATATGGTAACGCCATTCTCTTCGGAGGCCAGGATGGCTGACTTTGTCCTGCGTTGCTTTCTTCCAGGACATTCGCAGGAGTTCGCCCAGCGGCTTCCGTTCCGTCCCCGCGGTCACGTCCTCCTTCCCAAAGCCGACAACCATGCCTCGCTCCTCGCAGCTTCATCAGCAGCAACAGCAGCAGCAGGCGTATGACAGATTGCTGGCGTCGGAGCGGCAAGAACAGCAGCGGCAGCAACACAAGCAGCAAGACAAGAGCAAGCAGCAGCCGGTGGAACTGTTTGAGCACGAGTCCTTGGACGGGACGGATAGCTTCCTGCTGGAGCTGACTGAAGCCAGATTCCTGGATGAGGCGGATTACCTCAAGGACCCGCCAGACATCATGAAATGATTCGAGAGTTAGATTCTTTTGGTTCGATGTTACACTTGATCTTCCTCGATCGGGAAGTTAATCATCGCCATCGTTAAAAATGGGTTGCCCTTTTCTGTTGCTTGGGGCTATATGCAGTCTTGCCGCTAGTGGCCGCGGTGATCGTGACTTGCGATCAAATCCTCGGACACAAACGTAACCTGTGATGCGAGATCATCTTGCTTGAGTAAAATCCAATCCAATCTTAAGAAAATCTTACCTTTCCAGAAACAAGCTTGAACCTCGTCTGCGGTTAGACCTGCATTTTAGAAATCCAGCCTCAGGCTTCCACGAGAGAGAAAAAAAAAAGCCGCCATACATACCTCTGAAAATGGCTGGAACTGATGTTCCGAAGTATACAAACTTTCGATGCAAATTCCACAAAAGGCTACGTGATACATTTAAAGGAAAATTGCCTGTTTCACTGTCTGCGAACACCTACACACGAGCAAAAGAGTCAAATATTAAGTGAAAGGAGCAATGGAAGATTACCTCGTTCACTTGGAAATAGGTGCCATTTAAAGGAAAACTTCCACGCATTGCCGTTCGACATGGAATCTAGACAATAATACGAATAAATCGATTAGCAAATCATCACCAAGTCCTCACACACCAGCAATGTTCCTTTCACAAATTCGTCATCAACGCGTTGTTGATTCTCAAGCTGTGAGTTTTGCGGTTGCTCGTCTTCACAATTCACAGAGAAGACGTCAAAGAGTCATGCGAGTGTGTCAAGCTCTTTCTTACCTTGGCTCCATAGTGCCAGTAAGTAGAAACAAGGGTCGTCTTTCTCCCTCGGTTCCAGCTGCAACATTTTCACACCTCCGAGTCAATTATCAACACCTTGCATGAATTAATAAACCTGTTGGACCAGCGGATGGTGATCTGGAAGCTCATACCTGTGAAGGACAGTAGTGTCAGGCACGACGAATGTAACAAGAAACAATCTAAACAAAACTTACACATAGTGAACTGTTCGAAGGCGAAAAATATTTTTTAACTTCGGAACGGGAATGTAAGCAAATTCGGGAGGCAATACCATGAGTTCCTTGGATGAGGCAGATGCGACAGTATATTGTGGTGGTGCCTGAGGTTGCTCGATCAGATTCAAATGCAAAGTCTCGCTTCCTTGTGTGAATAACAGATCTTCCATGTCGGGACATGTTGATGAGCCCTCGCATGACTCTGACTCGGGCTCAGGCTCGGGAGATCGAGGCTCCTCAATAATTGGCTCGCATTTCTTAGGTGTTGCAACAACATTTGTAAGCGTGGCTGGAGGCAACGAGACTGGAGGTGGGAGTGTCAAAACTTCTTGTTGTTGTGCTCCTGCCTTGTCACCTTGTTGTTCACATTGTGTAGGAGGGGCTGGCAAAGCAAGCCTAGCACTGAGCAGAAGACGTTTTGTTTTCTGGTTAGCACAAACAGCAACAGGAAAAAAAGCTTCTTACCTTGCATATGCACTTGCAAAGTGCCTACACTCCATTCTCATGGGACAGGCATTGCAATTAGGCCGGGTTTTAGTGCAAAACACCTGGGAATAGACAGCGATTTAGTCCAGTACATTGTGCAGCTAAGTGTGGACTTCTTTACCTTCCCAAACGTAATCATCTGGTAGTGTAGCTCGTATCTGAATGAGGAGTTAGAAAAAAGGTGTGAGCGACAAGATCATGCCTTACAGCGTGAGTCGATCCAGCGTGCACAGCCTCGGCCATACATACTTTTGGACGGTTTCTTGCACCGGGTATCTACATGCGCAAGACGAGGATCAATCCAGGGCCAAGAGAAAGAAGGCAACACGGCTCACAGTTCCAAAAGATGAAGCTCCAGTTCTTCTGGTAGCGGCTGAATAGGCACCCAACCGAGGCGCACCAAGATTCTTCCAACGTTCGTATCCACCTACAAGGCACAAGTATCCAAGTTCTTGCTAGCTCAGCTGCGTAAAGCTACTTACAGGAAACGCGAGGTGGTCCAGTGCCAACAATCGAATGCATTCCACGCTCTTTAGTCCAAGGCCCCGTATGCTCAACAGAAAGTCCCTGTAGACACAAGTCCAAAATCAAAACAGCGCAGGATGGATGGAAAAGCACACAAACTTTGCGTCTTGGGGTGGCACATCTCTGATCCATTCGAGATCGATGCTGCCGTGTTCTTCATACACCCTATCGAGGAACCCCTGCAAGAATGCGGACTTTGTTAAATCTCCGCAACAACCCGTGCTCTAGATGCATGCAACTTACCTTCATCCGGCCAGCCAAGATGTTGTTCATCCCTCGCTCCTTGATTACGTCCGCCACTTCCTTCGTTTCAGCCAGCCTCACCGCATGCCAATCTGCACTATCTTCTGGCTTTGGTGCTGCAGTGACACCAATCAGTCCGGGACTTGTTTCCTCGTATTCTTTCAAGACTTACCATTTGGTCCCCGAGAAGTCACCTTAGACTTGATGCTTTCCCAGTCATATGACTTCTTCGTGCTGCCACGGGTATGCTCCAACAACGCACGCTCTTTGCCGGTCACGGTCGTCTCCTTCCGGGACCTCTTGTTGCTGGCCTTGGTTTCATTCTCCTCGCCATGCGACAGAGCTGTCGTGCTCGCACAAGTGGTGATGGTAGCTGCTACGCTTACCTCCGTGAGGCAGCTGCTGTTGCTGCTGGAACTCAGATCGTCTCCCGGTTGTTGATCAGCAGTTTCTTCTTCATCCACGTTTGGCGGCTGCTCCTTGTCATCTACGCTCGGCGGCTGCTCCCTGTCATCCACGCTTGGCAGCTGCTCCTCGTCATCCACGCTTGGCGGCTGTTCCTTGTCATGCTTTGTAAACAAAGCCCGCCGGACCTTACGCCTCCCCTCCATAAACACTTCTTCCTCCTCTCCCTCGACACACACAACTTCTTTGTGCTTGCATTGGCTGCGAACATCATCTTGAGCAGTGCAGCAATGTTCGCGCTCGCAGGAGCAGGAAGAACAAGTAGCATCAGGCTGATTCTTGACTGGAAATCTCGAGGCCATCGCCATGAATGCGGAGCTGCAAATCAAGAGATGAATGTAAACAAGCAATGCCTGTGGTAAAAGTTAAACCGATTAAACCTCGACAAATGGTCCGACACATTCTGCGTGAGGAATGCTCCGATAACAGAATCCACTACTGATCCTTTCCACTTACTAAATTTTCGATTTCCTGCTCGACAAGAAACAAGTTCAGCTAGATTGGATTTCAGTTTTACCTTGGATGAGATGCATCTTCTCAATGAAACAGAGTGCCTTTTGTTTCATGTCCTGCCTTTCTTTCTCCCAGTTCTTCGTCGTCTCATCGCTCTCTCCCTCGTTAGCCATGAGAAGCTTCCACACCCGAGTGCTCTCCGGATCGAGCTGCACCTTTGCCCGAGGTTTCTTCTTCTTGATATTGCTCGCTGGAACCACAGCTCCAGCGCCAACAAAGGGCACCAGGCTCAAGCTGCTGTTATCCTTAAGCATCAACCTCTCGAGCAGTCTAGCCAGCACCTCCACGCCCTGTTCCACGGATTGCATTTGTGCCTTGTTCTTTCTCGCCTTGCCGCCTTGAGCTTGCTGCAGCTGGAGGAATTGCTTGTGCCAGGGAAACTCCTGGTCGATCTCCTCTTCCTCCTCCTGCCGCTGTTTGGATTGCTCGACATCGACAACAAGCTGCCGCTGCTGCTCCACAAGCACAGAGCGCTCCACAAGCACGGATTGCTCGGAAACAATCTGTTGGTGGAGAGGCCCCCTGATTTGTACCGTGAATCCCAGACCCCCGGCTTCAGATCCGATCGGCACGGACTGCGACAGGAATACCTCCTGCTTTCGCCTCTTCCTGGGCCGGGCATTGTTTTCTGGTCTCGCGCCACCACTCCTCGGCTTTGGCCTTGGCTTTGGCTTGCTCGGGCTCGGGGTGGTCGACGTCCCAGTCGGGACGAGTGCTACTACTTTGGGCCTGTGCTTCCTGCGCTTGCTCGCCACCTCCTGCTGCGGCACCTCAATTCCCCCATCCGGCTGCGCCTCGTGCCTGTGAATTTCTTGGCGCTCTTGTTCTTCTTGGCAGGAAACAAGAGCCTCGTGCTCCACAGCCGCAGGCGCCACATTCAAGTCGAAATCTCGGTCTCTTGACGCTCCTTTGGAGGTGCGCGACGAGCGTGGACGCCTGAGGTGAGCTGCAGCTCTAAGAGCTGCGCGGCTCCCATCTCCCCTCTCATCCACAGCCATAGCCCCACAGAGAGACCCTCGCTTACCACGCCATAGCCATCTCCCTCTCTCACGCTCGGCCCAGCCCAAGCCTCGCAGCAAGCCCAGGATTTACTTTAGTCAAATGCGACAACTCCACCACATTGCTTTTACCACTGCCAGGCACAACCCTACTACAACACTGTTGCTGATTGATCGTTTTCCCCAACAGGCCCCGACCCTATCAGGGCTCCATCACCTGATAGGGTCCTCTCTCACTGACTGACCAAGGAAAGGAAAGAGAAAGAGCTAAACTAGGCCTGTTTGACAAACTAGCCCCTGCATTAAATAAAGAGGAGAGTTCGCTCAATCTGTTTTGGTAGACTACCTGCATTTAAACAAAAAAAAAACCAAACTTCGCCAGCGCCACGCCACGCCACGCCTAATTCTTTCTCATGTTCCGCCCCGCTCGGATGACTTCGTCTACGAGCAGCAGCTGAGAAGCAATCACCGGCCTGCCACCAAAGAAAAGCTTGGGCTGTTAGAACGAGAGAGGGGGGCAAAGCAAGACGAGGGGATTCGCTAACGTACGCTGCATCCACGATCTGGCGCTTGACGGAATAGTTGTCAAACACACCCTCCACCTGTGGGTCCATTGCTTCGCCCGTGTTGATATTCAAGCCCACAATGTTTCCATTGTCGTGCTCCGACTGCACAGTGTCGCGCGTCAAACACTCCCGTAGGAAACAAGGCACTTGTTTGCGTACCTGGAGCGTGATGAGCACATCCTGCGTGTCTAGCCCGGCATTCTGGGCCAGCGTTTTTGGCACCACCAGAAGTGCGTCAGCGAATGCTTCCACACCAAGTTGAGCACGCTATATCAACCCCATCAAGACAAAAAAAATAGCGTCAGCGACAAATTACAAGAAGTCACTGCATATATACCCCTTGAACGGTTCTCTTGACAATGTTCATCAAATGCTGCCTGGCCGCCACCTCAAATGCCCCTCCACCCTGCTCGTTGCTGGTCAGTCACCCCCATTCCCAAACGAAATCATGCACTTACCAAAACAATGGCCTCGTCCTCGATGGTGTTTTTGACCGACCTTAACCCATCTCGGATGGCATCCTTGATTTGAGCAATTGTATGGTCATCTGGACCTGCACACACACACACACACAAAACAGAAGTAGCTGAGAACACCGCCAAAGTATGGCCACCAACCTTTGATTAAGATTGTGCAAGAGTGTGGATTTTTAACGTTCTCCACGAAGGTGTACTTCTCTTCACCAAGAACGTGCTCGTATACGGTACCGGCCCATCCCAGGACGTCCGGACTGAGATCTTCCACCGAATCCACGGAGTGTCCACCACAAGCGAGGATCAGTCTCTCCATGTTTCGGCGCTTGGCCCTCCTTAGAGCAATGATCTACAAGGTGATGAAACATCAGCAATGCCCATGGACAAGTCCGGATTACTACCCCTTCTTTCGCAAACAAGTCCAACGAGATGGGATCTATCCCCTTTTGGTTGATAACAACAAAAGATTTGTCCGTTCCATCGCAAACCTGGTGCAAACATGAAGCCGTCAGGAAAAAAAACACCGGCAACATCCTGTACCTGTTTTTTCAAAGCGATTATTCTCATCACTTTGTCATCAACTTGCTTCCTTTCTGCGGCCACCATCTTCTCCCTCTGCTCCGCGTTGGAATAGAAGAAACCTGCGTTTATTTCGCTGCCGAAGGCGTGAGATGATGTATACAACCTTAGAATGCAAGAAAAGGGCTCGTGTACCTCTTTTCGTACTCAAGGGAGACATTGCACGTTAAAATAAAGGCATTGTCCACCCTTTTCTTCATGTCCGGATGACGAGACCCGTGGTCGAGAACAAGGCCTTCTACCTGTCAAAGACGAAAAAGATGAGGCCGATTACGGATGAGGTTAAGTAGAAAGACAGACAAGGCGTGTATCGGTATCGAACTTATGCCTCATGTGCATTATTTCCACCATGAAGAGATCCAGGGGCTCTTGCGGCTTCTTGACACAAAGAACCTGCAAGCCGGTGTATTAGACTCAAAATGCATGTAAAAAAGGCCATCTCCTTTATACCGCATTAACAACGATGTCAGTCAACTGGTCCGCCAAAGCCTCGTGCACCTGGTGAGCATTTTGTTTGAGTGCCAAAGAAAGAAGAACACAGATGAGAGGCTACCTTCGTTCTCAACGTTGTTCTCGCGACCATTTTGAGGATCTCCTTGTCGGGAGCATCTCCAATCTCGACTGGAATTTTGAAGTTCTCAAGGAACTCTAGCGTGGCCCTCTTGGCAATATCAAAACCATCCACCAGTATGCGCGGATGCATTCCTGAAAAGTAAAAAAAAAAAAACACACAGAGAGGTGCGTCGAGAAACAACGATCCGCTTTGGGCTACCTTCACTGATGAACCGCTCCGACTGTTTCATCAATTCTCCGATCAAGATAACTGTGGAAGTAGTTCCATCACCGCTAATGTCATCCTGCGCTACAGCCGTTCGGGCAATCATGATGGCTGTGGCGTTTTGTATTTGCTTCACCGAAAAACAGCCGTGAGCATTTCCAAGAAGGAAGAAAGGAGGAAAGGAAGAGAGCCTACCATATCCCTGAGCAAGGTATTGCCGTCTTTGGTGATCTTGAGGTCGCCCGAGCCCCCAACGAGCCTGAAAGCCTGGTCTAAGCAATCCAAGAAAGAATCCAAGAACAAAGAGAGAGCAGCTTACATTTTCATGGTTCCTTTGGGGCCCAGATTGGTGCACACCACATCCTGGAGGCCCTTGGCAGCGTTGATGTTCATGTGCAGTGCCGCCGACCGGTTGAGCACCTCGGCATTGGGATTGAGCGACCGGATCGCCATACTTGAAAGTGCCGCAAAACCCTAACCCTAACCCTATGAGAGTAAAAGGCTTTGTTTGATTCAGCAAATCTTGGAAGTGGACACCGATCCTACGACTTGGCTCCGGATGATCCAGCTCCAGAAGATGATGAAGCAGCGGCAATGCCGCCGCCCGCCGCCTTCTTCTTGTTGTAATCCTTGACGGCAGCTTTGATGGCGTCCTCGGCGAGCATGCTGCAGTGGAGCTTCACCGGCGGCAGTGCCAGATGCTTGGCGATGTCACTGACGAGAGACCAACAGAATTAGTGACCATGACGACGCACCAGCGAGAATCGAATCCTTGGTTCCCCATTCACCTGTTGCGGATGCCCATCACGTCGTTCACGCCCTTTCCCTTGACCCATTCCGTGGCTGCAAATTAGCAGCAGCGACGGATGATCGATCCATCAGGAGTGACTCACTCACACTCACCCACAGACGAGGACGCGATTGCCGATCCACACCCAAATGTCTTGAAGCACGAGTCCACAATCTTGCCCGATTCGTCCACCTTGATCTGGAGCTTCATCACATCGCCGCAGGCGGGTGCGCCCACCAGGCCCGTGCCCACGTTTGGATCCGCCTTGTCGAATGAGCCCACATTCCTGGGATTGTCGTAGTGATCCACCACCTTGTCATGGTAGGGCCTGCACGACGATCGGGATCGCGCTCGCGCTGCTGCAACCGCCACCACCTCTGCGATGGATCCTCGCGCAATGGATCCCCGCGCGGCCTGCCAGAACATCATCCTGCTTTCCCCGTGCCCTAATTAGGGCGAGGGAATTTTGTTTAAATATGCCACGCTGGACATACCTTTTGGACCGGGGTCAAACTCAAAAGAGCGATGGATCACATGTGGCTCCATCCACAGTGAACAAAGGGCATATGAGAGTTGGTGTGTCGTGTTGTTATGTGTTCTCCTTTGTTTCATCATGGTATCAAAGAAGAGGGGAATTTCCAAATCTTGAGTGATCTTAAGGTTCTCTTGAGATTTAAGCCCCGATCTCATCCTCTATCTATATTATCAAAATTCTTGTGGCTATCATGCACATACCTTGGAGATCCTAAGTAATCTGATGGTTTTGAGCATGGGAAAGCACAACAAATGAAGGATCTAAGCTTCTCCTCTCTCATGAGAATATATTTCGTTAGTTCTCCATTGTGAAAGCTAAGCTTGCACAGAAAAAGCTCCTGAATGTTGTGAATGGACGAGCTGGTGGTTGACAGAAGAGGAAATTGAGGCTTCGATTGAGCAGCGTCAGAAACAAGCAAGAGTTGTGTAATAGTTGTGGGCAGCTGAAATGAATATCATCCGTCAGATGTCATGTGGCTGCCAAGGTGTCTCTGAACCAGTCATGAAGTACGTGGAGCGCATGACAAGCTCAGAGGAAACATGAACTCAATGTTTATGGGGATCACTAGTGCTGTGTTGACTTTTGGATTGAACGAGAGATTCCAGAAGATTAGCTTGGAGCTTTGGTCCAGCAGTCAGCATGTAGATTTGGATAATGTCATCACTCATATCAATCATCACAAGAATCTGGTCAAGATCTACAATGACATAGGAAGGAATGGTTTTATAATAAAAAGCTGTAGATTAATTGGGAGTGTAATATTCCATGCATCGAAGTTGGTGGTATTATAAAAAAGATTGTCAAGACAAACAATAGTGATACTTCATTGATTAATGCTTTGGAGTTCATGAAGTGCATATATAAGATAATTAGTTTTGTTATAGTGTACATGTTATTTTAATAGGATCATGTCTGATTTGGAATACATTTGTGGGCATAAAGCTCCTTTTGCACTACATTCAAAAAGAGTTTCATGATGTAGGTTGCCAAAAGGTTGTACGTAAAATATTTTTATCGATAAACTAAAATTTCCTCATGGTTTTTTCTTAGGAAAATATCACGGTTGAAATGTTTTAAGTTTTTTCCAGGGGATGACGGCCAGGAGTCCCTGTGCATCGTGGAGTTTTTCATGCGCTTTCCCAGCATCCACGAACCTAGCAAGCTTTGCATTTTACTTGTTCGTGTCTCCATTTTTTGTTGCTCAGGCATTCATGATCAGGACGGACAAACACCACGAGCTCAACCTGGAGAAATTCCAAGGTTTGGACGTCCGGCTTTTTAATTCCTGCCCTGATGAGAACGACGGCCTTGACGAGGAGCAAGAGGACGCCGTCATCCCTTTAGAAATGCTTGGACTTCTACCCAAGTAGGTTCCTGATGATCCAGCTTTTCGTCCAGAGGAACAAGAGGCGTTTCCCATGGCCACCGATGTTTGATTACATCCCTTTCTACGAAGATGTCTCTTCATGACTTGTACAATCTCACGACCGATTTCGTTTGTTTTGACTAAGATCATTTTACATATAGAAAATTTGATTCTCTTGCTTGAGCCGTTTCAATGGATTGAATGCTCTAGACTTTCCCTCTGCTGGAGCCGGAAAATCATCGAACCGCTTGACGAGGAATCGGCTGAGGAGAGCGTGGAGCCATCGCTTCCTCTATAACCTTCTTGCTTGAAAGCTGCTGCGCTAGAAGATCCATGGCTATTTCTCGGAGCTGTGCCTGTAAGTTTGCATCTATATGTCAGAACTTAAATCGCGAAACAAAGCACAAGACGTTTCAAAGCCATGCACTCTCTTTAGGACGGACTCCCAGAACTCGACGATCTTGGCTGATCCAGATCTCAATTTTTCTTCTATCTTTGCTTGCTCTTCCTGGAGTTGACGCGAGGTCATGTTTTGGAGGAGAGTGTTTACGTCTAGATCAATGCTGGTATGGATCCAGCATCGTCGAGCACCAAACTATCCTCTCCACCGCAAGCTCCAGCTTCTCTCTTTCGTCCCTATGCTAGCTCTGGGTTGCAGACAACCGTCATGGCCTCCCAGAACTCGGTATTTTTCCTGTCCAGCTCCAAATGCAAGCGAAGTTTTTCACGTAGCTTCTCCACTTCTTTCACGCTAAGGCCCTTGAAGGTGTGGTAAGGCTCGGCCATCCTCAAGTCGTCGAGCTTGGATAGAAGATCAATCTTCGTGGCTCGGCCCTCCTTGATGCGTATCTGGGCACTTCCCGTTGGTGGAAAAGAAACTGCAGTGCATTCACGCGTAATTAGAACTTGCAAAAGGATACGCAAAAGGACATCTATATCATACCTCTTCTTCCTTTTTCTCCCGCTCTCTTGCTAGCATGGCTTTCTCTTCCTCGTTCTTTGCTTTCTCCATGGCTCTCTCTTCCCGTTTCTTCTTAACCTTCTCGATTTCCTTCTGGAAACACAAGAACATGAGCAAAACCGAGCAACAAACAAGCGATCCAAAGAAGAGATTCTAACTTACCATCTGTTCCTCCTGGCGCACCCTTTCAGCTTTCACGGAGATATCTTTCAAGTTCAGTGCCTTATTCGCAATGTCGCGTTCGATCTTCTTCCTCCACACAAACTTAGAAACCGAGGATTAGCTCTAGAAACCTCGCCAAAACCGCACAAGAAATTACTCACTTCTCAGTCAAGTTGGAGTCTCCGAAAGGGTTGCTGTCGTCTGAATAGCCCGAGACAGACTGTGATTTCAGCTTCTTAGCTACCTTGGCTGCCTGAAACACAGGATTTAGTAACGAAGAACTAAAACAAAAAACAGTGATCTCTAGGTACCTTTCTTTGGGCTTTCTTCACAAGATAATCATGAATCTCCTCCTCGGTGTATTGACTCACTCTTGAATCCCTGCCTCTCTTCCTTTGATGTCGCTCGTCAAGATCAACGCAACCTAATCGATAAACCCTAAATCTTTGCTACCTCATTTTTATAGGAGGTTGCCAAAAGGTTGTAAGTAAAATATTTCTATCAAATATTTGCCTTATCACAATTGTTAGCATGTTCAAATGCACATTTGAATATATTAAGAAAATCCTATAATCTGTAAAAGTGGTTGCACTCAAACCATTATATTACTACAGAGTAGTATTTTGGAAACATATGGAAACTCATACAAATATTGATTATTATCCCAAAAATGATATGTGGCAATTATTTGAAGTTTATAAAAGTTTTGAACATAAATGATAAATTCATCAAATCTTTCTTTATTCATATTATATCTATGCTCTTAAGGAGATGCCATAGTTGGAATGTCTAAAGTTTTTTCCAAGTGTTCCAAGGAATGATGGCCAAGAGTCCTTCTGGATCATGGATTTTCAAATGAGTTTCTTGATGGTTTACCCTCGGAATGTGAATTCAAAATGAGATAGCTAGAGCTACTCTTTATTATCGACAATTGATTTATACTAGTCCATTGAAGATGAGGAGATCAATAGAAATTATTAAGTATCTTCAAAAAAAGTGGTTGCAGATAAACAAGTTTCTTTAAGCTGCTATGGTGGTGATAGTTAAAGAAAAATTGTGCCAATTACAAAGGACTAAATGATTGGATAGTGAAGAATATATTTTCAATTATTTGTATCAATTATTTGCTTGATTATCCTTGTGGTACTCAATAGTTTATAAAGATTGATTTGAAACAAGGGTATCATTAGATTTATGTTAAGTCAAAGGATACTCCAATGATGGCATTCTTAATAAGTATAAATCACTACCAATATTTGGTGATGCCATTGGTTTGACAAATCCTTCTGCCACTTTCAAAAGTTGATGAATCAATTTTTACAACCTTTCTTGATTACTGTAATGATATCTTAATGTTCAGCTCTACAGTGAAGGAATATGAGATGATATTGTGAATGATTAGGATCTTAAATTCACATCAAAAGTTTTGGCAAATAGTCTTTAAGAAGCTAATTAAGAGTAGTGGTGAGCATCCATAATTAGATGGGTAGACAAAACACATGAATTGTTGTTAGAAGATATGTTGAAGTCTTTTATGGGAAAATTAACTCTAGAAGAAGTATCAGAGAAGTATTTCGAGAGGTCTAATCGAAGGATGGTTAACCCTAAATATCTTAAGGCCTTTAACAGATTGACTATGTTTGAGGTGTCAGTTCACTAGAATACATCTTCTTGTATTCATGTTCTACTCATAAGGACCATCTTTGCAAGTGTTATTCTAACATTTAATTAATTTTCATTTGCTGTGGGCTACTTTTGCCTTTTTAGGATTATTCGTCCATATGATGAGAATACTAATTCATCCTTTAAGTACACCCCCAACTCCTTGGGTTTGTTCCATCATTTATAAAATGTAGCCCCAATTACCATTTTAAGGACTCATATCCTCATCCGTATTTGACCTCCCACGGTCATTAATTCTGGTATCAAATTCATGAGCATCAGCCTTAATTATATGAGGATAATCTTGGGATTCTTTTATTGTTTTAGAGTCTTTATCTTTCCTATGATCTCAACTATAGCTGTTTACCACAACTATATTAGCCAATTTGCTAAGTTAAATGCTCATATGAATCACATCTTTAACTCTTTGAGAAAAACCTTATATTATTCCCAAGATCCCAAAGTTGGCTTTTTTTATTTACCACCTTGCCTACAAATTCACATATGAATTGTAGTGAAAAGCCATGTCCTCCCGACCTGCTACTCCTCAAGGATAGGCCCACTTTTAGGACCTTCCCAATGCTAAACCAAGTGGTGATATACTTGAGCACCAATAAGATTTAAACTAAGGAATAGCTCCAATACCAAATTGTAAGCGACTAAATTTTCCATTTTACTTTAGTCACTTAATCACACTTCCGACCATTTGGAGAAGTCTTACTCACAACCTCCATAAGTCTTATTTCGAACTTGGGGACTTAGTAGCCTTAAGAATGACATCCATACTACTCAACCATTGCACTTGGTCCAAGTGTTCCATGTGTTTGATCTCATAACCGACACCCAAAGGTACCACTAACATACCAACCCGTTACGCTAAGGCCATGCTCATTCACCTTTATCACACCAACTGCCAGGTAAAATGTATATATTCTTGGAAATGAAATAACCTTGAGTTCCTTAAATAAGTTCGTGGGGCCTTATGAGATTAAGGCTCAAATTAGTAAAGTGGTTTATTGCCTCTGACTGTGAGACACAAAATCCCTAGGCCCCAAAGTGGAGCCGGAAGGGTGCCATGTGGTGGTGGCCGAAGCAAAAACCAAACGAGCGTAACACGTTTGGACTAAAAAGCTCCAACTTGAAAAAGTCGAGAGTGGGAGTGGAACTCCTAACAAAATGCTCGAGGAACGAGCATGAAACGAGCAATAAGCGAGGCTCCAAAAAGGGACCTAAAAAGAACCAACACATGACACGTGAAAGTGTCCGAGACAGACCCGAGATGGAGTCTGAGATGGAGTCCGAGATGGAGTCTGAGATGGAGCCCGAGATGGAGTCCGAGATGGACCCAAGATGGACCCGAGATGGAGTCCGAGATGGAGTCCGAGATGGAGTCCGAGATAGAGTCTGAGATGGACCCGAGATGGAGTCCGAGATGGAGTCCGAGATGGAGTCCGAGATGGAGTCCGAAGTCGAGACCGAGACCGGGACCGAGACCGGGACCGAGACCAAGACCGAGACCGAGATCGGGACCGAGACCGAGACCGAGGCCGAGGCCGAGACCGAGCCCGAGCCCGAGTCCGAGTCCGAATCCGAGTCCGAGTCCGAGTCCGAGTCCGAGTCCGAGTCCGGAGCCTGAGAGGGTGAAAGCCCAAAGCGTTCGTCTCCCAGACCCTGGGGGGTGCGGGGGGTTCCAAAAGTATAGTAGGGAGAGTGTGGGGGTTGGAGCCTAGTGGAGCCAGTTTGGCCCAAGAAAGGCCAGTTGGGCCCAGAAAGGCCATACCCAGGGTTGGGTGATGAACTAACCACTGGGAAGTCCAAGACTAGAGTGAATACGGACCGACAAGCGGGGTAGCTTGGTGAAGTGTTCAAGAGCCGGCTCTAGTTCCCCCGGGAGATCGACTAACCGATGCTCCCAATCCAAGTGTGGGTGGCACTACCTACTTGAATACCTGGTGTGGCTCAACAGAACTTCGCTCTAAGCCCATGGCTAGAGCACCCAAAGGCAGAAGGCGGGGTGAGGCCCACGTAGGGCCACGGTGTTCCGAAATGTTGTCCCAAAGGCCCAGACTGTGGAAAGGAAGAGGAGTAGTCCTCTGGTGTAGTGACCAAGGATACAGTCGAGTGGTGAGGAAGTCCCAGAGGACCATAGGACTTAGTGGTCGGGCTTGTGGGCCTCGATTTAGTGGCAGTGTTGGCAAACACAGTCATGGGTAGAAAGGGACTTGGTGAAGACCGGAAAAGGGATATTGGGGAAGGCTATTCCCCATGTCTGTGGGCATCCTAAGGATGCTAAGGAGTGGATTTGGAATGATCACTCATGGACGGATGGCCCAGTCCTTGAGAGATGGGACTGTGATGTAGGTGGTGTTAGACCACTGGTGTGACCAAGGTAAAGGGGCATGGCCTTAGCGTAACAAGCTGATATGTCGGTGGTACCTTGGGGTGTTGGTCATGGGATTGGACACGTGGAGCACTTAGATCAAGTGCAAAGGTTGAGTGGCGGGGATGCCATTCTCGAGGCTAGCAAGCCCAAGTCTGAAATAGAACTTATGGAGGTTGTGAGTGAGACTCCTTAAAGTGGTTGGAGGTGTGGTTAAGTGACTAAAGTAGAATGGAAAATTTAGTCGCTTACAACTTGGTATCAGAGCTGTTCCTTAGTCCGACTCTTATTGGTGGCCAAGTATATCACCGCTTGTATTGGAATCGGAAGGTTCTAGATATGGACCTATCCTCAAGGAGTAGCATGTCGAAAGGACATGGCTCTCCACTCAAGTTCATGCATGAACTTGTGCACGATATGGTGGATGGAAAAGGGCCAGTAAGGGAATGACTTTGGGATCTTGGGAACAGTATAAGGGTTTCCTCAGAGAGCTGAGGATGTGATCCAGATGAGCGTTTGATGTAGCAAACGAGCTAATGTAGTTGTGGTAAACAACTATAGTTGGGATCACGGGAAAGATGTAGACTCCAAAATAATAAAGGAGTCACAAGATTACCCTTATATGGTTGAGGCTGGTACTCATAAATTTGAGACCGGAATTGTTGACCATGGGAGGTCAAATACAGAAGAGGACACCAGTCCTTGAAATGGTAGCCGAAGCTACCTCTAATAAATGCTAGAACAACCCAAGGAGTTGGGGGTGTACTTAAAGATGAGTTGCTATTCTCATCACATGGACAAGTAGTCCTAAGGGGCAAAGGTTAGCCCCAAGAAAATCATCAAGTGTCAGAGTAACACTTGCAAAGATTGTCTTTGTGAGGAGGACATGAATACAAGAAGTTGTATTCCAGTGAGTTGGCACCTCTAAGACTGAGACCTTGTAGGTTGTTGGATTAGCAAAGTCCAAAATGCTAAATGACTCAAGCGGAGTCAGGGAATGGTCATAAGGGATTGGTTGGAGCATTTAGACTGAGGTGTATGGTGCCCCATGAGGTATGGGGAGGATCATAAAATCCAAGTATGAGAACAGTAGGTATCTCATTGATGGCAGAATGTGCCATACTAAAGTTGTGGGAAAAATGTTCCAAGAAGAAAGCAACTTTGGCCCAGAGTTGGGTGCATA